ATAAGAAAAATGCAAGTGAAAAGGAAATCTGGTTGTTTCTTTGGCATGTAAAACAAAGATAATGAAGTCATTCCAAGCAAATTTTAGACACAGTGTCTCTCAGGATAATTATTAGGCCTATTTTGAAATAAGCCTGTGAATATTAGATCTGGTTTATAAAAATACATGGACATAATTTTTATATAGGAAAATATTTTAAGTTATAACATAATAATCCTGAGATAAATTTTTTTTTTTTTTTTGAGACAGAGTCTCACTTTGTTGCCTAGGCTAGAGTGAGTGCCGTGGCGTCAGCCTAGCTCACAGCAACCTCAGACTCCTGGGCTCAAGCGATCCTTCTGTCTCAGCCTCCCAAGTAGCTGGGACTACAGGCATGCGCCACCATGCCCGGCTAATTTTTTCTATATATATTAGTTGGCCAATTAGTTTCTTTCTATTTATAGTAGAGACGGGGTCTCGCTCTTGCTCAGGCTGGTTTTGAACTCCCGACCTCGAGCAATCCGCCCGCCTCGGCCTCCCAGAGAGCTAGGATTACAGGCGTGAGCCACCGCGCCCGGCCCTGAGATAAATTTTTTATACCAAGAATATCAAGTCAAGAGATTCAGAAAGTGCACAGTAGTGCCTAGACATCTGCATATTTATAAAACTCCATGAACAAATCTGATCTGCATTTCCATTAAGAACCACTGGCCTAGAAGATACTAGATTTAAATTAAAGAAGTCTGTGTAGCCCACATTTTAAGTAATATTGAAATGATGAATGATAACACTATACTGTTGTCTAATCTCATCAGGAAAAGCACCACCACAACTTTGATAAATACAGGAAAACTCTACAAACAATGTTCTGGATGGGGTCAAGTCTGAAACAAATCAAATGTTGAGTATATACAATATATGAATTAGGTGAAAAGAATATTGAGAATGGATATTTGTTGAGGGTGATAAAAATGTTTAAGACTGCTCACTTACTGGAAAGAACAAGTTCAGTTGATGAGAGGAACAATACAAAGCAAGCTGTGAGTCTGGCTGATAAATGAAAACATATTAGATTCAGAAAATAAAAATAATGTATTTTTTGTGTCCTAGTCAAAAACTGTATTCTGAAGATAGGTTTAAGAACCTATTTATGGAAGACAGGTTTAACAATATATTTGAAGAAATCAATCTTTACACACATACCTCCCACCCCATATTGCATGTACATATTATTTAATAATATATTTATATGTAATATAGTCTAAGCACTTGTATCTTTTCATTGGAAAGTGGTAAAGACAATGCTACTCATTTTATAAATATAAATATATAAAAGGATCCAACTTCTTTAAGTTCAATTAAAAGATTTCCTTATTAAAAACAATATAAAATATACTTAAAGGCAAAGGCCATGTCTCATATCATTATTAAATAAAAATCTGGTACCCAAGTTAACAGTTTTCTCTGTCTACTCAAACAAAATATAAAATACCTTAGGTTAAGATTCAATCTTCAAATCTAAATTCTGAGGGTATACTTATTCTTTTCAGAAGCATAAAACTGATGTTCAATACTAGTACTTTGAAGAATAATTTTGATATCCCCTAAATAAAGGAAAGAAAGAAAACTTCACTGATGTTCCATGCTAATGACAAAATGAATACTTGGCATTTTTTCTTCTACAAAAGGATGCACTGCACTATGACCTAAAGGAAATTCATAAATAGAAACTTCTTTATAACTGACATGAGCTTCACAAGCTAAAAAGAAAGACTAAGCCAACTGGCCAACCTTCATTTTTACAAACCTTCCTGATTTTCATGCCCTATTTTTCTTTCTCTTCTAAAAAATCTATTTTTCCTTCTCTCCTCCAATTTTATCTAAGTAATGACAGAATACTGGAGACAGCTGTAAAAAATTTTATAGAGCTTCTTTATTCTGTAAGTGCACACCTATGTTTTAATACTTGATCTCACTTGCTAAAAATAAAATAATTAACTTAATATAAATTTCTCTCCATTACCAGGATGCTGAATTTTTTCCCCCCATCATCACCATAAGAAGCAAAAGCAACAAAAAGTTCTGCAAAGATAACATACTTTGTAACAGCCAAGGTATCATATCCACCAACTGAAATGGCCATATGTTATTCCATTCTAATGAGACTGTCAATTTTTCTCATTATACAATATAGAAAAAATATCTACAGCTAACACCTAAATACACCAGAATCCCCAAAAGTACATCGTTCTAATGATTTTATTTAGTGATTTTTAATTCAGTGGGCTATCCTGTTCATATGAGTAACATATTACTCAGCTAATTGTTCTACTATTTTAAAAGATAAAATTTAAGTTCTATTCTTCTACACTGCTACCAGTATTCTCAAAGATTTATCTCAAAATTCCACATTTTTGGTTTTACTTTTTGTAAAAATGAATATAAGGAACAATTCTACTACTCTGAATAACTAGTATTAATCTATGAGGAATATCTATTATACAATGAACAAAACTTACTTGTGCTATAAAATAAATATTATTTGTTCAGTTCTTCCATCTAAAAAGCAGCATAGTAAAATACCATAAATTCAGGAATTTTTCTCTGATTAGCATATTTTTTATAACTCATAAGCATCCAAATTAATTTCCAAATCCAATATTAATAATAAAAATAAAGAAGGCATTCTTATATCAAAATCTCTGAATAAATAACCAAAAGAAAAATTTACAAGGTTTTGATTTAGAACAAGTTTCCCCCAAAAATCAATATTTTAAAAGCCAAAAATGAATCATGTTGGTTCTGCTGATATTTCAAATTTTTTTTTAATAAAAAAAATAAGATGGCCATAGTGGTACCATGAGTGGAGCAATAGACTGGAAGTAAAACAAAAACAAAAATAGGAGATAATCTCTCGCTTTTAAATCATCTCTACTGACTTGTTTTGAGAAATTTTTCAGTACAAATTCCAGAAATCTTCAGAAAAGGAAAGCTTCACATCTATATGTGTTCTATTTTATACTTGCTGTACCAGTTTCTTTCAGTGTTATTTACCTAAAACATAGCTATTTTTCCTAAATAAAAAAGGATTTTACTTTATTAGAAAGAAAATTCTTCTACAGATTTTTATTAGTCCTAATAAATCAAATCTATCTAAAAGTTTCCCTAAACAGAATCTTTTATTTCTTAAAAAATTTTTACTTACTCATAGGATTATAAAGAAAAAGGGCACTGGATAATGTAATCAATAAGAGAGAGAAATTATAAAGAGATAATTTCTCCAAGATTCAATTGAGAAGACAACTGTATGTAAGGAAATCTATGATTTGTGGAATAAAAAAGAATATTGTTATTTTAAGAAGTTGTTATGGTAAAAAGTCATTCTTTTTTTTTTGTTACAGACCTCTTTAAGAAAGCCATGGAACTGTTCTTTCTTGCATTTCACATACAAAATTTCTACACAATTTCAGAGGATTCATAAATCCCTCAAAACTCATCAAATCTCACATTAGTAACACTGGTAGATGTAAAAGCTCTCTGACCTAACTCAAAAGATAATCTTATGAAAGATGTAAGTTTAACAATCTCCTTGAATTCCACATTAAACCAATCAGGCTTTTACTTTAAAATCCTGAATAATAAAGCATAATGTAATAATTATATATAATAAAATTAGCTGTAATACTAAAAGTTGTCTATAACATGAAATAGAAATGTGTTTTTAAAAAATTACTATACATAAATGATTATTTTAAGTTATGCTTATCTTTTCAATTCATTCATCAATCACACAGATATCCTAAGTAAAAATGAAATATCTTTGGTTATTATTGCTAACTCTTCTAATTATCAGAGAAAAACATAGTACTTGCTTAGTAAAGATAAAGCCAAGAAATTTTGAACCTTGTAGATGTAAATTGTGCTGCAAATGCTACTTAAAGGACCCAATTGCCAGAATCACAATCAGCATTTTTGCTTAATTATGTTATTAATGAAATACATCTGTAAAATATATCTCTAGTTTCTCTTTTTCCTACTCAACTTTTATTAAGGAACATAATACATCTCAGTAAATTCTCATTAATAACATGCTAAGTAGTAATGGAATGAGCTAATGTACCAGTTTCAATATTCTTATTTTAATCTTACCATGCAAACCTGGAACTTTTACTGAGTTTTGAAACTCCAAGTGTACAAGATGCCTTTAAAATATTACCTCCAATCAGGAGTTCCATAAATAAATGGATATATATATATATATTTTTTGAGACAGAGTCTCGCTTTGTTGTCCAGGCTAGAGTGAGTGCCGTGGCGTCAGCCTCGCTCACAGCAACCTCAAACTCCTGGGCTTGAGCGATCCTTCTGCCTCAGCCTCCCAAGTAGCTGGGACTACAGGCATGAGCCACCATGCCCGGCTAATTTTTTATATACATATCAGTTGGCCAATTAATTTCTTTCTATTTATAGTAGAGACGGGGTCTCGCTCTTGCTCAGGCTGGTTTTGAACTCCTGACCTTGAGCAATCCGCCCGCCTCGGCCTCCCAGAGAGCTAGGATTACAAGCGTGAGCCACCGCGCCCGGCCTGGATATATTTTTTATATGGTGGTCAGTAAATAGGAAAATGATTAACTAAAGAATGTGTTAAAATCCATGTCTCTCAACTGCCCCATTATTTGTACTCTTTTATTAGAAATACTTTAAATTTTGCCATTTAAAATAAGTGAATTGAACCTAATTTCCTCATTTTGGAAGCTTTTAAAAAATAAAGATCTAATGATCTTTAGGAATGGGCCACTAAATCGAATCAAATGTATTTTTTCAAATATATCTTAGTGGAGACCAAGAACTAGTTAATAAGAATGGATTCATTAATGTTAACCAGAAATTTTAAAATGGTAATACAACCTATATTGTGGTAATATATATTATATATATAAAAATATATATAATATATATTTATATATTTTATATATAAAAATATATAATACATATATAAATATATATATGTGTGTATATATATATATTTATTACCACAATTTGGTAGGGTATATATATATATACCCTACCAAATTGTGGTAATTCCTAAAAGATTTTCAGGGATAAATCCTTGCAACAATTCAGAGAGTTGAGAGATATGTTTAAAAAGTGACAAAGCAATAAATCAAGTTTCAGTTATCCATGACAGAAGATGGAAATAACAATCACTTGAAATCTTGAGTATTGTATTCAGTTTCTCCAGCTGAAATCTGGCTGAGCCGCTTGCTAGATCCCCACAATTTTCGAGAAAGCTGACCTGAACGCATCTGTTTAAAGTAATCCAGAGAAATGAAGAATGTTAAGAAAAAAAAGAATAAATGAAATTGATATATAAGACAATGATTTTGTAGAGTGCAGAAGAAATAGGTTTTGTTAACAGCATCATTAACATTTTAAAGATTATTGATTAATAATACAGACTTCTACATTTATTATGTCTTTCAGTTAAGAAAAGTCTAAAGCCAATGTGTAAATTTAAAAATTTAATGTCCCAGTTACTTCAAAATTACTATATTCCTTTATTTTACATATTATCAAAATGCTTCACTTCATTAAAGTAAGCTTCTCAAACTATAATCTAGCTACACAAGACATATAGGTTTGGGAGTTTTATTGTATTAATATTTGCAGGACTATGAATATGAATTGTAAGGACAAGAACAAAATGTTTTGATGAGAAGAAAGTAATTTAAAAATATTTTGATGTGACTCTCAAAAATTAATATTTAACAATAAAATGATAAAAAGTAATTTACAAAACAAGAATAACATAAGCCCTTCAAAGGTAAGAATCACATTTTGTTCATTATTAAATTTGTACCACCTACAACCCTTCCCAGCATTTAACAAATATTAACTGAATCAGTGAATAAATCTCCTTTAAAAGTGATTATTCATCTAGAGGGGGGCAAAAAAACCTATATGCAGGCTGGGCATGGTGGCTCATGCCTATAATCTTAGCACTTTGGGAGACCAAGGTGGAAGGACTGCTTAAGGCCAAGAGTTCAAGACCAGCCTATGCAACATAGCGAGATCCCATCTCTACAAAATACAGAAAAAATTAGCTGGGCATGGTGGCACATGTCTATAGTCCCAGTTACTCAGGAGGCTAAGTCAAGAGGGTCACTTGAGCCCAAGAGTTTGAGGTTGTAGTGAGCTATGATGATGCAACTGCACTAGACTGGGCAACAGAGCGAGATACTGTCTTAAAAACAAAAATAAAAACTCTATATCCTTTGTTGTAATTACTTTCCCAAATGCAATCTAGTTTTTTTTTATTTTTTATTTTTTATTTATTTATTTATTTATTTATTTATTTTTTTTTTCTTTTTTCTCTTAAGCAGATTCTGACTTGTATGCAATCTAGTTTTTAATGGTGATTCTTCTGCCATCTTTTTTTAATGGTCACTTTTCTAGGACATATTTATTGGAGTGATAAAAGGTAAGCATTATGCAAAGATACTAGTGGCTTTGGCATTTTCATTTCCAGATGTAATTTCTGAAAGACATATTTCCATTAGTCTATGACTGCCTTACCATCTGATTTATAAATATGAATTTCACACTGACAGAATATATAAAACTGGTACATGATTTAAAAATACATACTAATCAAGATTTTGATGTTTTACATAAAAATAGATCATGAAATAGAAATGTCTTTTCATAACTAAATATGAATCTATTTCATATTTTACAGTCATATTTATAGAATGAATTATATTTTAATTATGCAAGACTCTAAGTATTCAATTTAATGAAGATCCATAACTTAGCTGATACATCCAAAGATATAGATAGAAAATACTTTTATTAACAATTCCCATACACACACTACATATACACACTACATACAATTCAGAGTCTATGTGTTATAGACCACATAAATCTTTCAAGGAGGGCCAATTACCAAACTTATTTGGTAAATATTATAAAATATTAATTTAAGCCTATAAATTACAGCTGCTTGGGTGTTTTTTCCAGTCAATCTTTAAAAGAAAATGAATGCACACAATGGTCATTTTTTTCCTTCAATTCTAGTGAGTGATAGAAATATCATGGTCATTTTATTTTAGAAAATTCATTAAAATCAGAACTGACAAATTTACCTAAGGTGAGAGAGAAAGGCAGGCAAATTTAAAAGGCACTTAAATAGTAAAGTAAAGTTTGAGCTGAGTTCTTAAGTATTCATCACATTAGCAGAGGACAGATTGAGCAATTCATTAATCAAGAATCTCAGTGTTGAATGGAAACATGTTTAAAATAAATATACGTAAAATACTGCAATATAGAGTGACAATATTTGGGGGACCGTTACATTTGAAACTAAATGTTGCAGTCACTTTAATAAGACTTCTTTTTTTTATGAAAATAATGGCCTTAAAAAAGAATATAAAGGCTAAAGAAATCTTAAAATACTTATAAAACAAAAAGATTCCTATGATCTATTAATATAATAGATTTATTATAACCACTGACAACATGATAGTAATTTCTTCCCTTGAAATAACCCTGTAGATACTATATTGTTAGATTTCTCAGAAAACACCAATGGTGACTCTAAAAAACTTAAAATGCTTAATTTAACTCAGTGTAATAAAATAAGTTACTTGGAAGAATCACTAAATTACTTGGAGTATAGCCACCAAGGTTTCCTAGGAACAAGAGTTAGATTTATGGTATCCGAATACTCCATAACTGATAAACCATTAATAAGTAAATTTACAGTTACCATAAGAAACTCACTGAGAATAAGCACATTATATCGGATATCTGTAGATCTAAGTAAAAAATGATGATTTTACAAAAGGCCAACTGATATATAGTCATGCTGGGTTATTTGTTAAAATTAAAGAAAATAGTGTAGTTTCATTGTTTGAACATATATTTCATTTCTTTGTAAGGGTTTTTATGTATTGAAAATCCAAGCAGTAGTCTTGAAAACAGATTTGGAATAAAAGAATTTTCTTATTTATATACAATGGTAGATAGAAATTGCCAAATGTACAGTACAGTACATTTGTACAGTACAGTACAGTACATTGCCAAATGTGTACTGTCAATTATATATTATATAATAAACATTATATCATAAACATCACTCTTGAATAACAGCTTTATCCTCTCTTTTCATTTACTGCCCTTTGAAAAATCAAATTTGTTTTTTAACTTGTTCATCCATAATGGAGACTTCTGATTCAGCTGGAACAAAGGAGAACCAAAGGAATCCCCAAAAGCACGAGAAATTAAATTACTGATGTTAGGTTTTACCTCAGCTGGCTTGCCAACACCCACTACAATCAATTTGCCATCTTCTAAACCTACAAGAATATGGCTGTATTCTTTGGTTACACACACACAGTGGATAGGCAGTCGCATGGCTAATGGGCTGACGCTGAGATTCAAACTAGAAGAGAAACAAAAAATACAGACATAATTGCATGGATATGTAATGGATTCACAGAATTTTATACCTGGAAAATGATGATTATATAGCTCTGCATTCTAGTTTTACAGATGTGGGAACTTAGGTTTAGAAAGTCTAAGTGACTCACACAAGGGCTCACATTTACAGCATTACTAAAAATACTTGATAAATAGATCTTTATTCTCAACATCTGTTTTTCTTCTAACCATATATAATCAAACAAAATATTAATAAAGAAACCATCAACCTAATATATAAAAATTATTTTCCTTACTCTCTAGAGAACCTTACTCTCTTTCTTCTATTTTCCAATCAACTCTATTATTACATATTTTCACCTTATATTATTACATATATTATTTATCTGAAGCAAATAGCCTGTATGTTCTCTTTACAGAGGAATGCTGGTAGGATTACAGGGGAAAGTGAGAGACAAAGTAAAGAAGAAAACAGGCAGAATCCCACACCCTTCTTAGCATCCTTCCTAAAACAGTAAGAAATAAAGTTTTTGTACCAGTCACCATTTTCTGAGCCTTGTCTTGACTGTACCCTTGAAATCCAACACAGTCCCAGGGGTCCTCAAACTTTTTAAACAGGGGGCCAGTTCACTGTCTCTCAGACCGTTGGAGGGCCATTGGAGAGTGCGGGGCACATTCCACACATGCGCACTGTGGGCCCTGGACGAGTTGGCTGCTAAGCAGGACAGGCAGTGGCGGCAAAAACACCCAACGGGCCGGGATAAATGTCCTCAGCAGGCTGCAGTTTGAGGATGCCTGGATACCATGGTCACTGTTGTCCCTGTGTCTCTGTGCTTTATTTTGTCACATCTTGCCTACCCCCATCTACAAAAGAAGGCCTTCCCTCTTTCTCCATTTCAATTTCTACTACTAACCTTTCATCAAGACTCCTCTGACCACTCACATCCATAATAATCCTTCATGTCTTCAAAACTCCTCCTGTACATATAACTAGTACCACATAATTTAGTTTTAAACTGTCCTAATTAGTACACAAATATTGATATTTCCCCAACTAGTCTTAAATCCCTCAAAGTCAGCTATTATGAGTAGGCATCACAGTACTGAGCACATAGGCACTCCCATTAAATTCTTTTCACCTTGTTGATTAATAAGTGAAAGCTGGGTAAGAAGGCCAAAAAGCTCAAAAAGTATGTGTGTGAGTGCATATGTGTGTCTATGTGTGGGGGCCTTGAGGTCAATAAAATTGGTCCAAAATTGATCTGATATTCCATTATGAAAAATGCCTGTGCTTGTTTAATAGAGAGTGACAAATGCCATGATGTGCACATTATGTTCTAGAGTAAATTATTAAAAGATCTCATTTATTTTTCTAATTTGATACTCTCCTAAAAGTACCCTGATATGATCAGAACAGACTCAGTACTCTACCACTGGACAAATAATGACAAAAATAAGGAAAATACAAAATAAGGAGGAAGGCTGGGTATAGTGGCTCATGTCTGTACATCCAGCACTTTGGGAGGCTGAGGCAGGATGATTGCTTGAGGCCAGGAGTTCAAGATCAGCCTGAGCAACATAGTGAGACACTGTCTCTATAAAAAATATAAAAATTAGTCAGGCATGGTGGTCCTAGCTACTCAGAAGGCTGAGGTGAGGGGATCACTTCAGCTCAGGAGTTTGAGGTTACAGAGATCTATGACTGTACCACTGTATTCTAGCCTGGGTGATAGAGTGAGACCTTGTCTCTTTTAAAAAAAAAAAAAGAAAAAAAAAAAAGAGGTTTTTATGGGAGACCCAAGATAGTTTGAGGAGTAACAATAAATTACACTAAATTATTTTTATTTACTTATTTTTTCGAGACAGAGTCTCACTCTGTTGCCTAGGCTAGAGTGCCATGGTATCAGCCTAGCTCACAGCAACCTCAAACTCCTGGGCCCAAGCAATCCTGCTGCCTCAGCCTCCTGAGTAGCTGGGACTACAGGCACACACCACTGTGTCTGGCTAATTTTTTCTATTTTTAGCAGAGTCAGGGTCTTGCTCTTGTTCAGGCTGGTCTCAAACTCCTGAGCTCAAGTGATCTTCCTGTCTCAGCCTCCCAGAGTGCTAGGATTACAGGCGTGAGCCACTGTACCCAGCCCAAAATATATTTTTTTAAAAGGGAAAAAAATAATGTATTTGGGGCACACATGGAATAACAGTGCCTTATATACTTAAGGTTTATGTATTTATATAAATATGAAAAATTGCAAACTTAAAAATATATCCACTACTCACACATCTCTCTCTTTCACCTGATTATACAAAAGATTCCCCCACCAACTTTATACACCCATATACACATACATAAACAAATATGTTAACTTTAAAAATAGTTTGTTTTACCACAATTAAAAAAAACTTTAGTTTTAAAAATTTAAATCATAATTTGGACAGATTTCAAAAGTCACAATCCAAGCTTGTTACAATGAAAATTTTTTTCTGGCTCTACATATTTAAAAATGTTTTAAATTGTGGTAAAATATATATAATGTAAATTTTTCTATATATTTAAAAGTGTATATATATGTTTTATTTACTAATCCAGGAATACTTTAGCTTCCCCATTTTTTTGCAGTTGTCAAGAGACAATTTTTATAATAAACAATATACCAAAAGATTAAAAATCTTAGATTCCTAATTTCTATTCCAGGCTAGAAGTACCATCTTTTTTTAAGCGATACTTCAATATCTTTTATTATTTACCTGTGGAGATCTCTTATAGACAGGAATCCTTGTAAGCTGCCTGTGACAATGTGTTCTCCAATTATACACATATCTGATATTTGTTCCTTCAGGACTTGAGACCCTAGATACTTGCCATTTATAGAAAACAGATGTAATGCATTCTTATCCTGCAAAGAAGTGATGAAAAAATTTAACAATCTAAAGTAAAAACTGAGTTTTATATTGTCAGTTATTTGGTTTAAAATTTTGGAATAAAAATATTACTATATTTAAAGACAAAGTACATAGACAATATTATTAAAGATTTCATATCAGATTGCCAAATAAATAAATAAATATTAACCCTTTGCACTCGGATGTCGAGTGTGACTCGACATGGTTAGCATCGGTAGCAGCTCGTATGTCGAGCCACACTCGACACATCGTTTCACCGCGGGGGGAAGGGTTTTTTTTTTGTCTATTTTTCCAGTATCTTTTCTTGTTTTCATTAGCATGAAAGGACAAGTAAAATGTAAATGGAGAGATGGTACACTAACTTCCATAGGTAGATTATTATCCACTAACTTAGAGCAACATTTAGATGGAAAGCTCCATATGATCACACCTCACCCTAACAAAAAACATAAAGATTGTGTTGTTTGTTCTAACAGAAAAATCAAAGGAGGAAGAAGAGAGACGATTTATATTTGCGAAACATGTGAATGTAAAACAGGTCTTCATGTGGATAAATGTTTCAAAAAATATCACACCATGAAAAATTATAGAGATTAAAATTACTCTTTGAATGTATCAATAATTTAAAATATAAAAAAATCCAAATAAATAAGTTTGTATGAAAAGAAACTCCAGTTTTTTATTCTATTGCCACGCTTTGTAAAATCTGGGGTATTTAAAAAATTAAATCCCGAGTAGAATAAAGGAATTGAGAAAAAAGCAAGCGAGTGCAAAGGTTTGTTAAACAAGAACTCTCACTCCCTCCAACAAACATTAAAATATCATCCAGTCCAAACAAACCCTATATTCTTAAAACAAAAAAAAAGATTTTCTTAATATTTAAAAACGTTTATCACTAAAAAGAAATAAACATAAAATGCAGGGATTGTTTATTTATATCCTGCCTGTGCAAAAAGAATTTAAGTCAGCTATCATTTTCAGTTAAGCTTATGAAGTCCTACAAAATCATAAATTATTTTGAAATCATATATTATACAGGCAAATAGAAATCCCTAAAATAAAATACTAATGTGAGGACAAGATTGTGATGGAAGTACATTTATTGGTAAGAAACAACTGAATGAAAACATCCTCTTTAAAATATGGTGTTTTTTCCTTCTTTAAAAAGCAAAATACTTCATATATGAGGTGGGGAGGGAAAGACACAGTATCCATACTGGATGAAAGTGCTTTATACCTTGAGGGTAGTCTTTTCTTCAATGCTGGAGTAGATGACAATATGTCCTTCCCAAGATATAGCCAAATTGGGAATGGCCAGGAAGAGAGAACTCTCACAAGGTGGTCGTAAGGTCCTCATGTACTGACCTTTCTGAATGGTATGTATAATCACAGTTCCATCCTACACAGAGGAAATATTAGAAAATGAAAAAGACAAAGGAAAAGATCATCAAAAAAGAAGGTAAAGTGAGCCAGATAAAGAAATGTAGGCAAGGAACTGAGGAAATGATCATTCCATCAAGGACACATGTACATTAGGAAAAATTCCAATTTCACAGCTTTATCACTGAGAAAGTGATCTAGACTATGGTCATTTTCTGTTACTTAACTTTACTTATTTTTTTGGAGAATGGATCTCACTCTGTTGCCTGGGCCAGAGTGCAGTGGTATCATCAGCGCTCACAGCAACCTTTGTCAAACTCCTGGGCTCAAGCAATCCTCCTGCTTCAGCCTCCTGAGTAGCTGGCACTATTGGTATGCACCAATATGCCTGGCTAATTTTCATACTTTTTCTAGACATGGGATGTCATTATGTTGTTCAGGCTGGTCTCAAACTCCTGGCCTCAAGTGATCCTCCCAACTTGGCCTCCCTCCCAAAGTGCTAGAATTACAGGTATGAGCCATTGTACCCAGTCTCCAATTTCAAATGTATTTTAGTTCCCAGAATGCACTTAATGAACAAAACCAATTTCCTTAATTAACAAAACTAATAAAATTCTAAAATAGAATCCCACAAGTCTTTTCTTTCTGTATTACTCCACTTTTGCAAAGTCCTACACAAACATGGCATAAAATTTCTATACTTTGACACATTCCCCTAAAAAAACTTTAGATATAAATATTGCTACTACATTTGTAGAAAAAGTAATTAGTAATTCTTAAAAGTGAAATCTTACCCTTGATCCTGACACTGCTACGTCTAGCTCAGTGCTGATGCCGACGCTCAATACCTCATCCGTGTGTCCATAAAGAATCTGAAAAGGTTTAGAGGCTAAGCCCAGAGGAACACCTCCCTAATATTAAAAGAGAAAAGCAAAGATAAAGGTGTTTTCTTGCTACCAATTTTTTATGACAAGGTTTATGTTGCATATAAACTTTTTAATCACAAACTAACATTACAACTAATTAATAGTTATTACCACTGAGTTTATTCAAAGTAGTATTCATTTTTATGCTTCTTGGATTCCGGACTTAGTCTTTTAAAGCTCAAAAACTTAATTTCAGGCCGGGCATGTGGATCACGCCTGTAATCCTAGCACTCTGGGAGACCGAAGAGGGCGGATAGTTTGAGCTCAGGAATTCAAAACCAACCTGAGCAAGAGTGAGATCTCGTCTCTACTATAAACAGAAAGAAATTAATTGGCTAACTAACATATATAGAAAAAATTAGCCGGGCATGGTGGCGCATGCCTGTAGTCCCAGCTACTCGGGAGGCTGAGGCAGGAGGATTGCCTGAGCCCAGGAGTTTGAGGTTGCTGTGAGCTAGGCTGACACCACAGCACTCTAGCCCGGGCAACAAAGTGAGACTCTATCTCAAAAAAAAAACAAACAAAAAAATTAATTTCAATGGTCTCAATGTTGATTGTCTTGTATTAATTTTTCTGAGTATGTTATTTGCCCTTTAAATCTGATTTATTCTTCTTTAAAAATCACATAATTTTTTTTATTATATCTTTGAATACTTTTTCTGTTCCATTCATTAGAATCTTTACTTCAGGGACATCAATTATCTTTATGTGGATTTTTCTTTGATTTCTATGACTATTATTATTTTATTTATTTTTTTGAGACAGAATCTCACTCTGTCACTCTGAGTAGAGTGCAGCGATGTCATCATAGTTCACCGAAACCTCAAACTCCTGGGTTCAAGAGAGCCTCTTCCCTCAGCCTCCTAGGTAGCTGGGATTATAAGTACATGCCCAGCTAATTTTTCTATTTTTAGTAGAAAGTGGGGGGGGGGTCTTACTGTTGCTCAGGCTGGTTCCAAACTCCTGAGCTCAAGCAATCCTCTTGCCTTTGCCTCCCAGAGTGCTAGGACTATAGGTGTGAGCCACCACACTTAGCGAGCTATTATTTTTTATCTAACTGTGTTTAAAGTCATCTTTTTAATTTGCATTCACTCTGATTATATCTTTTTTCCATGCCATTAATTTGGTTTGCAGCCACATTAAATCTGTTTCTTGTTTTTGCTTTGGGTTTACTTATATTTGTAATGGTATCAGTTTTAATCTCAGTTTGATTATTTTGCAACCTCCATTTTTATCTTATCACACTATTTGATCATTTCATCTTGGAGTTCCTATTTTTTTTTATTCTTTTTTTTATTTCAGCATATTATGGGGGTATAAATGTTAAATATTAAGGTTACATATATTGCCCTTACCCTCCTTGAGTCAGAGCTTTACGCGAGTCAGAGCTTTACGCATGACCATCCCCTAGATGGTGCATCTTGCACTCATTATGTATGTATATACCCATCCCTTCCTCCCCCCTCCCACCTGCCCAACAACCCGATAAGTGTTATTCCTATATGTCCACTTAGGTGTTGATCAGTTAATACCAATTTGCTGGTGAGTACATGTGGTGCTTATTTTTCCATTCTTGGGATACTTCACTTAGTGGAATGGGTTCCAGCTCTATCCAGGAAAATACAAGAGGTGCTATGTCACCATTGTTTCTAATAGCTGAATGGTATACATATACCATGTATTAATCCGCTCATGTATTGATGGACACTTGGGTTGTTTCCACAACTTTGCAATTGTGAATTGAGCTGCTATAAACATTCGAGTGCAGGTGTCTTTTTTGTAGATTGTCCTTTGTTCTTTTGGGTAGATGCCCAGTAGTGGGATTTCTGGATCAAATGGTATATCTACTTATAACACTTTAAGGTATCTCCATATTGCTTTCCACAGAAGGTGAACTAGTTTGCAGTCCCACCAGCAGTGTAGGAGTGTTCCTATCTCTCTGCATCCACGCCAGCATTTATTGTTTTGATAAAGGCCATTCTTACTGGAGATAAGTGATATTTCATTGCGGTTTTGATTTGCATTTCCCTGACGATTAGAGATGTTGAGCATTTTTTCATCTATTTGTTGGCCATTATTCTGTCTTTTTTTTTTGTACAGAAACAATAATTAAAAATGTTTTTAGACTATCCCTTTAGATGTCACAGAATTATCTTGATCGTCTGCACAATAATTTTTCAAATACTTCCCAACTGAAGTTTTGAGAAAGAAGAAAATTAAAATTGAACGACTTGCTTTTTTCTTCCTTGATTTTTCTGAACAACTTCCACGGAAACTTTCGCCTCATATAGTGGAATGGGTTCATCCAACTGAGGTCTAAAAACACCAGTTGATAACTTCTCCACCACATCTTTTAAGATACAAAGATATTTTCTCTGTTGTACATTTGACAAATTCCAAACTTCATCATTAAGGAAATCTACCGTTGCTCCCTTGAAGAAAAGACAATGGCTGTCCGGAAGATCCAACTGAAGGTTTTCTTCTGTTGTTACCCAATGGCCTCCAACACCAAGAAGTGTGATGATATCATGTTTATGTGGCAGTAGTTGTAATTTTACAGCTGGTTCATCATTTTTACTATATAATCTCACTCCAACATCTAGGACAATATCTACTCCCAGGCCACCTGTTTCTTCCAAACAGCTTTCAGCAACATGGACTTTCCCATTAGATACATCAATCACTCTGGCTACAGAAGGCCTAAGTCTTTCAAGGAACTGCTTGTCTTCAAGGCTGCATGCAGTTGAAATCACTTTGGCTCCCCTATGGGGTGCTAACTGAATAGCTATTGTACCAAATGCACTTGCTCCACCCATGATCAGCACTGATTTTCCAGGAGAGAGATGAGAAAGATGCAGAGCTATATAGGCTCGTACTCCATCCCGAATAGTTCCAGCTGCTTCTGTCCAGGTAACCTTTTCTGGTTTATGAACCAAGTAGTGCTCATATACTCTAACAACTTCACAAAGTCCAGGGTCTTCAGAATCCAGGGGCAAAATTCCGACTACTTCATCATCTGGTTGAAAGAATGATACCTTGCTTCCAACCTCTAACACAATTCTAGCAATTTCTCTCCCAACAGGAAAGAACTCCTTTTTCATCTTCATTTCTGCCAGAAGCTTTGTATTTATCTGGCTCAGAGCACAAGCTTTAACTTGAAGTTTCACAAAGTTATCCTGAGTAACAGGGAGATTTTCCCTTTCTTGAAATACAAATCTTGTTTCTTCATTTGTGGAACTCTGTTGAAAATATAAGCCTTTCATTATCACCTGCCTCTGAGGGCCCCAACGGCTTGAGCCTTTGCCATAGCCACCTTCGCATCCTTCTTTTCTGTCTTCTTTTGAGAAGTTTCTGTTCATGTCCTTTGCCCACTTTTTGATAGGGTTGTTTGATTTTTCCTTGCTGATTTTCCTGAGTTCTAAATAGATTCTGGTTATCAGCCCTTTATCAGATGTGTACCATGCGAAAATTTTCTCCCATTCTGTAGGTTGTCTGTTTGTTCTAGTGACTGTTTCTTTGGCTGTGCAGAAGCTTTTTAGTTTGATCAGGTCCCATTTATTTATTTTTGTTGTTGCTGTGATTGCCTTTGGGGTCTTCTTCATAAATTCTTTGCCTGATTTTTGTGAGAGGTGAAAGGTGTGGATCCTGCTTCAGTCTTCCACATGTGGCTATCCAGTTTTCCAGCACCAATTATTGAATAAGGATTCTTTTCCCCAGTGTATGTTTTTGTCTGCTTTGTTGAAGATTAGATGGTTATATGAGAGTGGTTTTATATCTGGGTTCTCTGTTCTGTTCCACTGGTCAATGTCCTTATTTTTGTGCCAATACCAAGCTGAATTAATTCCCACAGCTTTGTAGTATTGTTTGAAATCTGGCAAATTGATACTTCTCTTTTGTTGTTGTTTTTTTTTGAGATAGAGTCTCACTCTGTTGCCCTGGCTAGAGTGCCATGGCATCAGCCTAGCTCACAGCAACCTCAAATTCCAGGGCTCGAGCAATCCCTGGCTAGAGTGCCATGGCATCAGCCTAGCTCACAGCAACCTCAAATTCCAGGGCTCGAGCAATCCTTCTGCCTCAGCCTCCCAAGTAGCTGGAACTATAGGCATGCACCACCATGCCCGGCTAATTTTTTCTATATATATTAGTTGGCCAATTAATTTCTATCTATTTATAGTAGAGACGGGGTCTCGCTCTTGCTCAGGCTGGTTTCAAACTCTGACCTTTAGCAATCCGCCCACCTTGGCCTCCAGAGTGCTAGGATTACAGGCGTGAGCCACCGCACCCAGCCTAATTTTTTCGGTATTTTTTAGTTGGCCAATTAATTTCTTTCTAGGGTCTCGCTCTTGCTCAGGCTGGTCTTGAACTACTGACCTTGAGCGATCCACCTGCCTCAGCCTCCCAGAGTGCTAAGATTACAGGCGTGAGCCACCACGCCTGGCCTCCCATTTTGTTTTTATTGCCTAGAATTGCTTTTGCTATACGGGGTCTTCTCTTGTTCCATATGAAGCGTAAAATTATTTTTTCTATATCTGTGAAAAATGAAGTTAGTATTTTAATAGGGATTGCATTGAATCTATAGCTCAATTTGGGTAGTATAAACATTTTAACAATGTTGATTCTGCCGACCTATGAGCATGGCATGGATTTCTCTATTTCCTTCCACAGTATTTCATAGTTCTCCCTGTAGAGATCTTTTACCTCCTTAGTTAAGTATATTCCTAGGTACTTTATTTTCTTTGTTGCTATTGTGAAGGGCATTGAGTCTTTGATTTGTTTCTCAATTTGACTGTTATTGGTATATAGGAATGCCTCTGATTTGTGTGTACTGATTTTGTATCCTGAGACTTTACTAAATTCATTTATCAATTCCAGGAGTCTCTTGGTTGAATCCTTGGGATTTTATAAATATAATATCATATCATCAGCAAAGAGTGAGAGTTTGGTCTCTTCTGCCCCCATTTGGATGCCTTTCATTCCACTTTCATGTTTGATTGCTACAGACTAGACTTCCAGCACTATGTTGAACATAAGTGGAGATAGTGGGCAACCTTGCCTGGTTCCAGTTCTAAGTGGGAATGCTTTAAATTTTCCCCCATTCAGTATGATGTTAGATGTGAGTCTGTCATATATGGCTTGTATCATTTTTAGGTAAGCCCCTTCTATGCCTATTTTGTTAAGTGTTCTTATCATAAAAGGGTGTTGAATTTTGTAAAATGCTTTTTCTGCATCTACTGAAAGGATCATATGGTCTTTGTTTTTGCACTCTTTATGTGGTGAATTACATTTATAGATTTGCATATGTTGAGCCATCCCTGCATCCCTGGGATGAAGCCCATTTGGTCATGAAGAATTATTTTCTTGATAAGCACCTGGATTCGGCTAGCTAGGACTTTGTTGAGAATTTTTGCATCTATATTCATAAGTGATATTGGTCTGTACTTTTCTTTCTTTGTTGCATCCTTTCCTGGTTTTGATATCAAAGTGATGTTGGCTTCATAAAATGAATCTGGTAGAATTCCATCCTTCTCATGTTGTGGAATAATTTCTGCAGGATAGGCACCCGTTCTTTCTACATGTGGTAAAATTCGAGTGTGAAACCATCTGGTCTGGGACTTTTCTTTTTAGGAAGGTTTTTAATCACTGTTTCTATTTTGGCACTTGATATTGGTCTGTTCAGTAATTCTATTTCTTCCTGATTGAGCCTAGGGAGGCTGTGTATTTCTAGAAATTTGTCCATTTCTTCCTCATTTTACAGTTTGTGTGCATAAAGTTTTTTGTAGTATTCATAGATTATATCTTGTATCTCCAGGGCATCAGTTGTAATATCTCCTTTTTTGTTCCTGATGGAGCTTATTAGAGATTTTTCTTTCCTGCTTTTCATTGGTCTAGTGAAAGGTGTGTCAATTTTGTTAAGTTTTTCGAAGAACCAACTTTTTCTTTTATTAATCTTATGTATGGTTTCCCTGTTGTCAATTTCATTTAGTTCTGATTTGATCTTGTTAATTTCACTTCTTCTGCTGGGTTTGGGGTTGGTCTGTTCTTTTTCCAGTTCTTTGAGTCGATTCATCAGGTTGTCTATTTGTGATCTTTCTGACTTTTGAATATAGGCATTTATGGAAATAAACTCTCCTGTCAGGATTGCTTTAGCTGTGTCCCAGAGTTTGATAACTTGTATCTCCGTTGTCATTAAGTTCAAAGAATTTTTTGATGTTCATCTTGATTTCCTTGTTTATGAAGTAATCATTCAGCAGAAGGTTGTTTAATTTCCATGCTTTTGTGTAGAAATATGAGTTTCTGTTAGGGTTGATTTCTACTTTTATTCCACTATGATCTGAGAAGATACACGGTATAATTTCTATTTTTTAAATTTTTTTGAGACTTTCTTTGTATCTTAGGATATGGTCAATCTTAGAGAATGTCCCATAAGTTGATGAGAAGAACATATATTCAGTGGATTTTGGGTAGAATGTCTTGTAAATTTAAGTCATGCCCAAATATTCTAGAGTTTTGTTTAAGTCCATTATTTCTTTATTAATTTTCTGTTTTGAGGATCTGTCCTGTGCAGTCAGTGGGGTGTTGAAATCTCCAGCTATTATGGAGTTTGAGCCCCTATTTTAATTGAACTGCTATTCTTATGTTTTCTAATGACATAATTTTATTGCAAAAAATCACTATCTTCTTCCAGAAGATTCTTTCTTCATGTCTTTATCATGCTTTGTTTGTATATTATTTTATATGTTATGAAATAGTGTTTGAATAGATGCCATGTTGTTTTAGGCATGATTATCCTAGACAACTCTGCCCAGATGTTCTATCTGTTCTATACAGTGTACATGAATTCCCCTTGATAATCTACTACGTGGGACACATTTGACTTCTTTGAGTGTCAGTCTGAGTGCTTAGTGCAATTTTTTTATTATTTTATTTTATATTTTATTTAGATATGGGGGACTCGTTATGTTGTCCATGCTGGCCTTGAACTCCTGGGCTCAAGTAATCCTCCTGCCCCAGCCTCCTAAGTAGCTGGGACTATAGGTGTATGACACCATGTCTGGCCTTAATATGCTTATAAAAATCAGGAAATTCCTATATTATTCAAGCAGTTCCAGTTACAGGGAAACAAGAACTCTTCTTACAAAAATTCATTTTATAAAGATTGCATATCCCAATACTAAACATGATAAAGACAGAACAAAAACCAGATCTATTACACTTAAGAGCAGAGAAATCATTAAAGTACCAGGCAAATAAAATACAGCAGTAAAATGTAATAACAATACACTATGAATTATGTGGGGTTATTATAAAATTTCGAGGATGGTTCAAACAAATGAAATTGCTCAACACATTACATCAAGAAAAAGTATAAATTAAAGAGAAACTTGGAAAAATAGTTGTAAAGGAAATTATTGGAAATACTGACAAAATTAGAACATGGACTGTGGATTAGATAATGGTATTATACAAATGTTAAGTATTCTGATTTTGCTAATTATACTGTGGTTATACACAAGATTGTCTTTGTTCTTAGAAAATACACACTCAAGTTTTTAGGAGTAAAGGAACATGATGTCTCCAACTTTTAAATGATTCAGAGAAAAAAGATGCTGAAGGAGGGAGATACTGAGAGAGAATGCTAATAACACAAATGGTAAAAAAATACTGTATTTGCTACTTTTTTTTTTTTTTTTTTTTTTTTTTGAGACAAAGTCTCACTTTGGTGCCCAGACTAGAGTGAGTGCCATGGTGTCAGCCTAGCTCATAGCAACCTCAATCTTCTGGGCTCAAGCAATCCTCCTACCTCAGCCTCCCGAGTAGCTGGGACTACAGGCATGCGCCACCATGCCCGGCTAATTTTTTCTATATCTATTAGTTGGCCAATTAATTTCTTTCTATTTATAGTAGAGACAGGGTCTCACTCTTGCTCAGGCTGGTTTCGAACTCCTGACCTCGAGCAATCTGCCCGTCTTGGCCTCCCAGAGTGCTAGGATTACAGGCATGAGCCACCTCGCCCAGCTCAAATATATTTGCTACTTTTTAAAATACATTTGAAAGTTCTTTAAAACTAAAAAGTTGGCCGGGCGCGGTGGCTCAAGCCTGTAATCCTAGCACTCTGGGAGGCCGAGACAGGCAGATTGCTCCAGGTCAGGAATTCGAAACCAGCCTGAGCAAGAGCGAGACCCTGTCTCTACTATAAATAGAAAGAAATTAATTGGCCAACTAATAGATATAGAAAAAATTAGCCGGGCATGGTGGCACATGCCTGTAGTCCCAGCTACTCCGGAGGCTGAGGCAGAAGGATTGCTTGAGCCCAGGTGATTGAGGTTGCTGTGAGCTAGGCTGACGCCACGGCACTCACTCTAGCCTGGGCAACAAAGTGAGACTCTGTCTCAAAAAAAAAAAAAAGAAAAAAAGAAAAAAAAATAGAAAGAGACCAACTACTTAAATATGAAAAATACTATTAATGAAATTCAATAGCAAACACTATACTAACCGGCAAAATCGTAAAGACAGTTTCATCGAAATCAAATATTAAGGTAGGGATGCTCATTATAATTTTTTTACTTTATTATAGTAGCTAATAATGCAATATGATGAGACAAATAATTAGTATATTAGAAAAGATAAATAAAAATCACCTTTATTTTCAGATCACATGATTATACATATAGGCACCTTTATATTCAGAAAATCCAGGAAGTTCTAATAAACATGAGAGCTGGGAAAAAGATTTAGTGAAGTAATTGGATATAAAATAATTGTGTAGAAATCAATCAAATCACTGTACAGTGTTTCTTTATACTAGCAACAATCAATTAGAAATGAAAATGATAAAACATTCCACCAATAGTAATAAAAATGCTAATTAGAAGTAAATATAACAATGTATAGAACCTAAATAAAAAAATGTTTACCAAAAGTTACAAAAAAGACCTAAAAGAAACATGGAAGGCCATTTTCTATTTCTGGATATAAATAATTATAAAAATATATCACATTAAAATATAAATAAAATATAATTTCAAAAAGACTAAAATGGATTTTTTAGGAGAATACAGTTAAAATATTTTTAAAGTTCATATGGAAGAATAAATATCTGTATAAGAAGTTAACACAGTGGCAGGAGGATCTGCCTTATCAAATATTAAACTACTAAAATAAAAACATTGGTGGTGACAAAAAAATAGGGAAGTGTAATAGAATGAGTCATCTAGGAAAAGATCCAATTCAATAGGTAAAAGTGGCTTTCTTACTTAATTTATGCTGACATAATGGCTTTCTACTCAGAACTAAATAAAATCTTATAAAATGTAGAAAAATAAATTATCAATAAATTAAAGATTATAATGTAAGTAATAAAACAAGAAAAAATTAAAAGAAAAGTTTTAGATAGTATTTTTATAAATTTGGAGTGAGAAAAGGCCTGTTAAAGTAGAAAACCAAGAAGCCATAAAGAAAAAAGACACTTCTTGGACCAATATTAGGAGAATCACAAATCTATAATTTCTAGTAGTCCCATGAGAAAGGAGAATAGGAATATTACTATGCTAACAAGATAGTAAAAAAATAATTACTATTTTCCTACATGAGGAGAAAGAAGAGTTTTTGGAAAATAACAGGGAAAAAGTTAATGAATCAGACAATAAACCAAGGACAGGACAGAATGCAGGATAGTAAAAGAATGCAAAGCAGCTCAGTCATTCACTGACAGAAAAAAATTCATTTCCCAATAGAATACCTCACTAGTATTCTAAGGGTGAATCTTTGATCTAAACCAAGAGCATTTAAAAATGTGTGACTACCTGTTGTGTTATTTGCCATATCATACATGTAGTATCTCTGGAACCAGAAATCAAATGCATTCCACAGTAATCTGTAGCTAAGCAAGTCACAATATCTGTAGGAAAAAGGAATGAAATAAAATGAAACGGTTTGGTTTTGCTAGAGAAGAGAACATCAAGGGCAACTTTTGTTAATGTTCAAACTATTACTAAATCAGCTATTCCAAAAGGAAGGAATGCAGGGCTGACATGGGAAAAGTATTGAGAAAGAGAGACACAGGAAAGAACTGGTATCAAAATCACCTAGGAGCACTTTTTTGGAGACCAACCTTCTTTGAGCTTGAGGACTAGATGTGTGGTGTGAGGAATATCTGTTAGCATCTTGGGAGGAGGTTAGATAGCTTGAGATGGATCTCCAGTTAATTCTTGATTTTTTTGGATAGGATCTCGCTCTGTTACCCAGGCTGGAGTGCAGTGGCTTGATCAAAGCTCACTGCAGCCTCCAACTCCTGGGCTCCAGTGATCCTTCTGCCTCAGTTTCCTGAGTAGCTAGGACTACAGGCATGTGCCAGCAAGCCTGGCTAATTTTTCCAGTTAATTTTGATATACTTCTCTGCTCTCTCATTCCCATTCACTTCCTACTCCCACTGGGAATTACCATCCGACAGAGTTATGTGTCCTAAGAAAAATAGTACATATTTTATACCATAAATTCACAATATAAAATATTTCCTGAACTGTAAACAGCTGAGCTAAGTGACATTTCAGGAGTCGCTGGTATACAATTAGCAGCAGGCTCCATCTCTCTTTCCTAATAGGTTTACTAGAAAAACATCAGCTGGGCACGGTGGCTCACACTTACAATCCTAGCCCTCTGGGAGGCCAAGGTGGGAGGATCACTTGAGCTTAGGAGTTCAAGACCAGCCTGAGCAAGAGTGAGACCCTGTCTCTACTAAAAACAGAAAAAATAAGCTGGGCATGGTGGTGCTGGCCTGTAGTCTAGCTACTTGGGAGGCTGAGGCAGGAGGATTGCCTGAGCCCAGGAGTTTGAGGTTGCTGTGAGCTAGGCTGACACCACAGCACTCTAGCCGGGAAAACAGAGTGAGACTGTGTTTCCAAAAAAAAAAAAAATCTACTCAATGTTTTATCCATATATTGAAGACTCAGACAGTAAGAAGTATCAGGTTAAACTAATTCAACAATTTTGACAATCTTATGTTTTACTGTTAATACAGAAATAGAGCAGTTAATGACAACAGATTTTATTACCATTTTGTCTTAAAATTATTTCTATCAGTCAACAAATACATGAAATACTCTTATAGAAAGCATACAATATTTATAATACTACACTACCAAAAAGTTCCATTCAGCTTCAAAGGTAAAATTAAATGCTCTTTACGAGGAACATGTACTACTTTTATAGTTTAGAATAAAACAGAAAATTTTGAAGTTTTTTGAGAAAAAAGTTAATGCTTACCCATATGTCTGATATTGTGTGAGATAATTTTGCCTTTTGTAAGTGACATTACTTGAATGCTATTATCCCAATGTCCAGCACTGAAGAGCAACTTTGCATCATGTGATACTACAAATAGCTTAGAGGTAACTTCCAGCCCTGGAGCAAAAGGACCATTCATACTACGCTGAGTTCTGTAAACACAAATAAATATTAGATTTTTCCTTAAAAGATCACTTAGACTATTATCAACTATTTTTTAAATATTTCTAAAAAAGAAATTTAAAAAAGTCTCAAATGTCCTATTTGAAATATTTATTAAAAATGCTAAAGACTTTCAGAAAATACACTAATCTTATTCATATTTTTCATAAAATAAAATATACATAACATAGCATCAAAGGGTTAAGCATAAAGACATTGAGATTGGTGAAGGCGTAAAAAAGATTTAAATCTTGTCTTTTAAGGCCTATCTAATAAAATTGGCAATTCTGTAAGTGGCAGCCTCAAAGTAAAAGGAGGACAGGATATGCCATGACTGGGAAAATCAGAAATTAACTAAAACCAGGGCTTCTTCTATACAGGGTGATGTCTAAGACGCAGATCAATGCATATCTAACAATACTTAACAATAATCGTTTTCTATTCCAACCAAAGCAAGTATATATATGGGTTTTATCAGCTTTCAAATGAAGTAACTATGAGCTTAGCCAATCTAGATTCTGTAGGTGGACACAAGTGCCTACAATGTGTGTGCAGAAAATGAGTGCTAAATCTGACACTTCAGCTCTAAAACTTTATTATTCAATATGAATTTGCTGAGAATATGATTCATGCAAAACACAACACTAAGTTGTATGCGGGATAAGAGGGAAAAAAAGACATTGCCCTTAATCTCATGGAGTTTTATTGTAGTTGAAGACGACTAGAAAATACAATGATAACAATTATTTTAAATAGTTTTCAAATATATGATGTAATTTGATCCTCAAAATAACACTGAATGTGATTTAACTAGGAAAAAATATAAGCAAACAAACTAAGACAACTCAGAGTAAGTTACCTAAAGTTAGAATGTAACTTTTGGAGATTTTTTTAAAAAATGTAGATACCAAATTCTTACTATTTTTTTTTCCCCCGACCATTGCTATGTATTTTCTTACTATTTTTAATTTTAAATTTTTTATAGGCAGGGTCTTGCTCTGTTGCCCAGATCAAAATGACACAAATCAGTTATTCTGGTTGTTTTTTGTGGCAATAAGGTACTTGTAGCTATTTTGCTTTAAATATTCATTTACTTACTTTGGATTTGTCACAGTTTGATCCTTGATGAATGTAAAGTAATTAGAAATGTTTCTGTCATAAGGCAGCCATCCATGAGTTCCAATAACATAATTCATGCTTACTGTTATCTAAAAAAGAACATATGAAGACTCAAACTAAATGAAAGATTAAAGAGAGAAGCAGAATAACCAGATGCTTACATGATATTAGCATTTATAACTCAGGGAATACTTTGGTACTGTATATTTAAAACATGAAACTCATTAAGAAAGTCTTTAAATAATCCAAATAGAAAAAACAATCTTATTGCTAAGAAAAGTTGTCAAATATCTCTTGCTTTAGTAAGGTTATTTTTCCTTACAATTTCTCAAGTGTAAGAACTGCACCTATTATTAGTTGGCAGTCGTTAGAGGAAACTCAGGGTCAAGTCTTATAAAAATGTAATAATAATATATATCACTTAGAACATAAATCAGAAGTAGAACTTATATATTAAGGTCTCCCTGTAGTGATAGTCACAGTGAATAAATTCTTTTCAAAATGGAAACGTTTTACCCTTTTGATTATAAAAGTAACAGGATACCCTCCCCCAAATACAGGTAACTTTAAAAAATGCAGGTATTAAAACTGAAAATCACAAGAATTCCACCACTCAAAAGATACTATTATTTTTATCTATCTTTCTGAACTTTTTTTCTAAGCAAATATAATGTCCATTATTATAAAAATAGGGCTAATTCTAGAATCTCTACTGTTCAATCTGTTATACTTTATTTTTATTTCTAAATGACAAAATGAGAATAAGACAGACCTAGGTTTGGTCCACAAGCCAAGGTCTCAGATCCCTTACTTGCTAGCTCTGTGACTTTAACCAAGTTACTTTTCTGAATCTTAATTTCTTATCTGTAAAATGGAAATAATAATAATGCCTATCTCATAGGACTATTAGGTGGATTAAATAAAAATTCCTGTAATACACTCACTAAAGTACCCTGTATGTATTCCTTAGTAAATTCTCTATTATTTATCATTATCATTATTATGGCTTTATAATAAATTTTAATGTAAGATGCCAGTCCTTATTTTTCTTGTATAAAATTTCCTGGTTATTCTCACATATTTATTTTTCCAGATAAACCTTAAAATTATAGTATCTACTTAAAATAATGATATATAAAAGCAAAGATATGTTTTTGTACTTGGTCAAATTATTTTGACAAAATGTTTCTCTGTTATTTTAAAAAATGTTTCCTATTTTTTTTTTTTTTTGGAAGTTTTAACAGATACAGACATGGCAGTGTGAAAAAGGTAAAAATGAACTTACCAGTAACTCAGGGCTGCCTTGAGACATAAAAGAACGAGACTGATTTTTGGGGACAATGGCCTTTAACAGTGGAATACCATCACTGATTCCCTATAAAATAAAACAGGTTTAGTGGCTGGTTCTACTCATCTTTATTAGGTACAAATTATTGAAAACTTCTATTTCTTTAAAAAAGAATGAACCTTTTCATATAGCATTACCCTTTCACATAGCATGTAATCATTTAATTTAAAATGTAGGAAAGGAATTATATACCATGTTTGGATGGCATACTTGAAACTACTGAAACCCATCATCTTCTTCTATTCTATTACTCTGCTGTTAAAAAAGAAATGTAGGAGGCCGGGCGCTGTGGCTCACGCCTGTAATCCTAGCTCTTGGGAGGCCGAGGCGGGCGGATTGCTCAAGGTCAGGAGTTCAAAACCAGCCTGAGCAAGAGCGAGACCCCGTCTCTACTATAAGAAAATAGAAAGAAATTAATTGGCCAACTGATATATATATAAAAAAAGCCGGCATGGTGGCGCATGCCTGTAGTCCCAGCTACCCGGAGCTGAGGCAGAAGGATCACTCGAGCCCAGAGTTTGAGGTTGCTGTGAGCTAGGCTGACGCACGGCACTCACTCTAGCCTGGCAACAAAGCGAGACTCTGTCCAAAAAAAAAAAAAAAAAAAGAAATGTAGATTTCAAGAAGTAGCAATCATTTATTTATTTTATTTTTTTTTTGAGACAGAGTCCACTTTGTTGTCCAGGCTAGAGTGAGTGCTGTGGCGTCAGCCTAGCTCACAGCAACCTCAAACCCTGGGCTTGAGTGATCCTTCTGCCTCAGCCTCCGAGTAGCTTGGACTACAGGCATGCGCCACCATGCCCGGCTAATTTTTTCTATATATATAGTTGGCCAATTAATTTCTTTCTATTTATAGTAGAGACGGGTCTCGCTCTTGCTCAGGCTGGTTCGAACTCCTGACCTGGAGCAATCTGCCCGCCCGGCCTCCAAGAGCTAGATTACAGGCGTGAGCCACAGCGCCCGGCCTTATTTATTATTATTTTTTTTGAGACAGATCTCACTTTGTTGCCCAGGCTAGAGTGAGTGCCATGGTGTCAGCCTAGCTCACAGCAACCTCAAACTCCTGGGCTCAAGTGATCCTTCTGCCTCAGCCTCCCGAATAGCTGGGACTACAGGCATGCGCCACCATGCCCGGCTAATTTTTTCTATATATATTAGTTGGCCAATTAATTTCTTTCTATTTATAGTAGAGACGGGGTCTCGCTCTTGCTCAGGCTGGTTTCGAACTCCTGACCTGGAGCAATCTGCCTGTCTCGGCCTCCAAGAGTGCTAGGATTACAGGCATGAGCCACCGCGCCCAGCCAGTAGCAATCATTTAAAAAGGCCAGCGATCTAGGATCTTTCCTTTTCCCTCGCTATACTGACATGAATATAAAGTAGAAAATATTGATCATATATGAATAACATCCAGGCCAGGCATGGTGGCTCATGCCTGTAATCCTAGCACTCTGGGAGGCCAAGGTGGGCGGATGGCTCAAGGTCAAGAATTCGAAACCAGCCTGAGCAAGAGTGAGACTCCGTCTCCACTAAAAAATAGAAATAAATTAATTGGCCAACTAAAAATATATATAGAAAAAATTAGCCGGGCACAGTGGTGGATGCCTGTAGTCCCAGCTACTTGGGAGGCTGAGGCAGCAGGATCGCTTGAGCCCAGGAGTTTGAGGTTGCTGTGAGCTAGGCTGACACCACGGCACTCTAGCCTGGGCAACAGAGTGAGATTCTGTCTCAAAAAAAAAAGAAAAGAATAATATCCACCATTATCTTATTATAATGTGAAAGAACAATAATTTGAACTCAGTTCCTTGACGTGACAATAGTTCAAAAATGATTCCTAACATTTATTAGGTAAAGTATAACATTATTGGGTACATATACATCAGTATTGCTCTAAGAGTTTTATAGGACTAAGTAACAAATTATAAAATTCATTATAATTTATAAAATTATAAAAAGTTAGTGTTTATATTTTCTCTTCACACTGTGAATTAATCAAGAGAAGAATGTCTTGCATTTAGAAAAGGCAAAGTGAAAACAGTATCTGAAAAATCCAGTTATTAAGTCCTTGCTTGCACTACCTCTATTTTCTTCACCTCTATTTTCTTCATTCATTTGAATATGCAGGAAGAGAAGACCTATAGAGGGCCTTGTCTTTTCATATGAATGTATGAGGAAACATCTCTTATGATATAAAAAGGGATCAACAAATTATTGGTAACCAAGGCTATCTATCATGTTCTTTATCTGGCTCCAGATACTGGTCCTGGGGAAAGCTACTGTGGGACATGGTGGGTACAGAGAGGGGCAGATGTGTGCCACTGCACCTGCATATGGAACTTACAAAGTTAAATGTCACAAATGATTACATACAATAAAAATAGTTCTATCAGCATAATATAATAAATACAGTATTGCAATAATCAGATTATGGGTCAATAGAGTCTTATAGGTTGCCTACATGCAGTAAAGAGTTAACAGAGCAAGCCTGAGACTGCTATCTTTAAAGAGGCTTGCTTCCAAGGTTGGCCTTTGGCTGCCACTGGGACTTAGCTAACAAACAGTTCCTTACACTGACATAAAACTTTCCCTTAATAATAAGGATGGCTCACTGCACCTAGACTGTTTGTGCAGACAATATGGTTTACGCTGAATGCTTACTTTATATCTGGAATTTGGGTACATGTTAAAGAGAGGTGTACATGTGACCAGCTTCCAATAAACCTTGTGTGCTAAGTCTCTAATGAGCTTCCCCAGCTGACAAAAATGTGTTTTCACATTTCATTATTGAAAAAATTAAGCATGTCCTGTATGACTGTACTGGGAAAGGACTCTTGGACACTTGCACTTGGGCTTCCCCTGAACTTTGCCCTATGTGCCCTCTCCTTTTGCTGATTATTGCTTTGTATCCTTTCAATGCAATAAATCCTATCTGTGAGTACAATTATATGTACTATATGATTTCTAACAAATCACTGAACCTGGGATGGCCTTGGAGACCCTCAATACAACATGGGAATCAGTCATCATCTCTGACCATTGTTTCTATGTGTTCTGAGTTCTAGGCAATTGACTGAGATACTTTTGGAAAACAACCAATCTTTTAGTTTGTATTGTCAACTTAAATAACTAACTCGATCAATATGAATCTAGGAAAAGAGTGACAGATTAATTTTGAAGTGCTTTCACAAACATGTAAAAACATATTTATATTAAAATATAGACCAGGCATGGTGGCTAGCACCCATAATCCTAGCAATCTGGGAGGCGGGTAGATCGTTTGAGCTCAGGAGTTCGAGATCAGCCTGAGCAAGAGTGAGACCCTGTCTCTACTAAAAAAAAAAAAAAAAAAAGAAATTAGCTGGACAACTAAAAATACAGAAAAAATTAGCTGGGCATGGTGGTGCATGCCTATAGTCCCAGCTATATGGGAGGCTGAGACAGAAAGATTGCTTGAGCCCAGGAGTTTGAGGTTGCTGTGAGCTAGGCTGATGCCATGGCACTCTAGCCCGGGCAACAGAGTGAGACTCTGTCTCCAAAAAAAAAAAAAAAATTAAAATATACTATGCCCTATAAAAATATATATTATATGTCAATTAAGAAATAATAATTTAAAAAATACAGTAAGACTTACAACATTGTCATTTGAGTAAAATTCATTATAAAGTTATAACTGTTATAAACATTATAAAAATTTTTACACTAAATTATGAACAAATTCTATAATGCTTTCCCATGGTATTGAATCTAATAAATACATTACAGTAATGCTCTAATGCAGGGTTTTACAAACTATACCCTGTGGGTCAAATCCAGCCCACCACCTGTTTTGTAGGTGGTTTGGTGAGCTTAGAATGGTTTTTATATTTTTAGATGGTTACATTTTAGGTGGTTATATATGTACCTCATAATATACTTGATTTTGTCTCTTGGTCTACAAAGCCCATAGTATTTACTATCTGCCCCTTAAAGAAAACGTTTACCAACCCCTGCTGTTACTGTAGAGAGAATGCCTGTTTATGCACATCTCCAAACTATTTTCAATAACTTCTTTTTCTTAAGAGACAGGGTGTTGCTTTGTTGTCCAGGCTAGAGTGCAGTGGTATCATCATAGCTCACTGCAACTTCAAACTCTTGGGCTTAAGTGATCCTCCTGCCTCAGCCTCCTGAGTATCTGGGACCACAGGAATATGCCACCACATCTGGCCCGGCTAATTTTTCTATTTTTTTGTAAAGATTGAGTCTCATTCTTGCTCAGGCTGGTCTTGAACTCCTGGCTTCAAGTGATCCTCCTGCCTTGGCCTCCCAAAGTGCTGGATGTGAGCCACAGTGCCTGGCCTCTTGATAACTTTTTATCATCATCTTTTTTTTTTCTTTTTTTGCCAAGATTTAATACTATCTGTTCTAACCAAATTCATAGATATGAATATATTTCATAATCACATTCTGAACTACTCAAAGTAATTCAATATAGATATTTAAACATTTGAATTTTTTGACTTGAACTCTTTCATTTATAGCATTAACTACTCCTGTTTTATTTGACTCTTCCTTCTACCAATTAACAATATGACTTAGTGGTCCCTATTTTAAAGGTAAACAGAAATTATAATTTAGAGCCATAAAATATCATCTACATCTATATACCATCTCAACTGCCACAAAAAGCATTTAAAGCAAATTATTTATTCTTACTTGTCAGGAAAATATGAAATAGAAGAAAGCAAGCCAAGAGAAACAGTTCAGACTACCACGCAGAAGCAAATAAAAGCTTTCAATAAAAATGTTTTTAAAATCCAAGAATAGATTATTACAGTAAAATTTACTATTTTGGATTAAATATAATCCTTCTCCTCCATTAAAGAATAAAAAGAACTTTAAGATGTACAGAATTCACACAGAAAATTCTTTGATATTACCAAATTGGATATTACCTCTATAAAAAATGACTTGAGTTCAGGGAGATGTTGAAATAGGTTTAGGGTTGAAGTGTCTGTTTTGGTCTGCTTCTGCACTGCTTCCTCTGCTGATAATCTAGGAGGGTGTGGTTCCTTAAAAATAATTTTAAGGAAAAATTATTCCATATTTATATTAAAACATCTCTCACTGTGTTCCTTCATACCCACCGGGCTCTAGCTACAATGGATTACATACCATGTACTGTTGACAACTCCAGGCCTTGGGTCAGACTATTCTCTCAGCTGAGTTACTGCCTTCTCCATTTCTATGGAAATCCCATTTCTACTTTATTTTATTTATTTATTTATTTTTTGAGACAGAGTCTCACTTTGTTGCCCAGGCTAGAGTGAGTGCCGTGGCATCAGCCTGGCTCACAGCAACCTCAATCTCCGGGGCTCAGCGATCCTACTGCCTCAGCCTCCGGAGTAGCTGGGACTACAGGCATGTGCCACCATGCCCGGCTAATTTTTTGTATATATATTTTTAGTTGGTCAATTAATTTATTTCTATTTTTGGTAGAGACGGGGTCTCGCTCAGGCTGGTTCTGAACTCCTGACCTTGAGCAATCCGCCCGCCTCGGCCTCCCAAAGTACTAGGATTACAGGCGTGAGCCACCACGCCCGGCCCCATTTCTACTTTAATATTTTTCCTAATGATATTTCTCCTAAATTTCTAAGTCAGAACTAATTATTCTCTTTTATTATTTTCCTTGGTAAATTGTTTATATTTTATTTAGTACTCATTTATTTCTATTAATTTAATTCTATTAATATATTGGATTACATATAGTTGTTTATGGTCTGTCCTTCCCAACTAGGCTATAGGTATTTTAAAGTCAGAGATAAGTCTTATCCATTTTTGGATTTCCACAATAAAACAATACCTTACATATGGTAGATGCTTAATAAATGTTTGGTAAAATTAAATGCATTATTCAAAATTCAAAATACTTAATTCAGATGAATCTTTAATTCCTGAAACAAGATCAAAATGTCAATACTATCAGAATCAAATTATAGATATTGCTGCATACTTTTCAAATAAATCATTTTTTGTCCTTTACTTTTATGTCAGAGACACAGAACAGAATCAGCTATATTGATGAGAAGAAATAACAAGTAAAATTAATATTCCAAGGCACAGTTAAAATGCAAAATAGAATTCTATCTAAAGGGAATTCTTTGATCTCTACCACAAAATATTAGATTATAGGCGACAGATGTGACAGCTGTTAGGTACTAAAATATTCAGCTATTAATAAGTATCATTCACTTTATTTTAAATCAGAGGTTGATTTTTGTATAATTATTTATGGTGATAAAAACAAATTAGCACTACTCTTATAAAATCAAAAGAAAGGTAAAGCTGATGCAAAAATATTATAGAAGAGTTCTGTTTTATTCTGTTACTTTGCTTTCTGCCTATACCAGAAGGTAACAGATAAAGCATTAACTTCATATATGACTGTTCTGTTAAAAACCAATATTGAAAGTTCTAAGGAAACCATTGCTAAGGAATAGTAACAATTATAAAGCTTAGCCCGATAACTGAATTGACAGGGTACATCTGGAACCTAGAGCTTAGATATACTACTGCTGTAATAGCTGTGGACATTTCAATTCAACAAATATTTACTGTGCACATACTATATGCAAGAAAGATACAAAGATGATTAAGAGAAGGTTGCTGCCTTTAACATATTTATAATTTAGTGAGGCAAATGGGTAAGTATGCAACTGAGGCAGAAGGTATTATAATTAGGTCATAAATAAAGGCCCCTAAGAACACAGAAAAGATCTAATTTAACAAGGCTGTACATTTGCTAATTCAGAGGAAATCATGTATGACAGAAAGGCTTTGGAGTTAGATGGTCACGCATATAAATCCTACCCTAGTTACTTATAACTAGTGTAAACTTAGAAAAAGTATGTAATTTCTCTAAGGCATTGTAAGTTAGGTATTACTTTCTGTGAGGGTTGGCTTCATCATCTAAAAAATGAGACTAATTGGATATCTCCTGTGAGGATCAGGTAAAGCACCTAACACAGTGACTGCATAAGAAAGTATCTACTTAATAAATGGTATATTATTATGTATTTCACATTTGTAAATTTATATACTAACAAAGATCAAGACATCTTTGAAAACTAACATTAGATTACCTTCTATGAATCCAAACCTGTGTGCAATTAAGAAAATGATTTAACTTCAGATACTGGCATGGGGAAAGAAATATGTGGTAACATTTAATAATTTTATTCTACATTTTGTATATCTGTAATTTGATTGTTAAGACTGAGTTTGGGCTCTGGATAGTAAGTGTCCTTTTGGGGCAGATGTCAGCTACTATAACTTTTACATGTGGAACAAGTCCCAATATAAAGACAGTTTTAATGGCATACTCTAATTGGTACTCAGTTTTTCCTCTTGGAAATAATTAATATAAGGTGATTGGCTTTCTAGGTAAATAGAAATTCTTTTGTGAGTTAGAGTAATAGAATATACATGTATGGATCTTGACTTCAATATTTTGTTATTTCAAAATAGGAACAATCACTTAAAATCTATTTATTTTTAAGTGAAAGTAATTTTTTCCAAATTCTAGATAATTCTGAAATAAAGTTTTATGTATTTATTTTTTAATTGAAATAAAGTTTTAAATCATTAAAATCCTTACAAATATTGGTAGTACTGCTCCTTAGCAATTCAATTCTAAGACTTAAGTTGTCAATAACTTTTATGATTTACCTTTAATAGCTGACAAGGTGTTTGCCCAAAATTATTAATCATCCCTTCTAAAGCTTTTCTTTCCTTCTCATCTGTTAAGGCATCTAGATCCACAGCTCCTAAAACCAGAAGTAGTCAATTTACTATAGAATGAAAACAAATCAGCAAGCCGTATCACTGATTAGTCTACCAGACTGATTAGCATACTTTCAACAAAATATTATTCCATTCTTCAATGTATTACATTGAAAAGAGGTAATTTTTTAAAAATCTTCAAACATTAAATATGCATAAAAATAAATTCCATTCACTATTTAGAACTAAAATATTTTAAACACTTAAAAGTTAACAGGTACTCAATAAAAGTTTCTCTTGGAAAAACATAAACTATACTCATATATAATTGTTTTCTTCATGATAGTCAAGCTGAAACAAGAGCAATAACCACACAAAAATACTGCTTAAAGTTATTGCTTTGGCTGGTCCAATGGTAGTGGGTTAAGAACTTATTAACATTAGTGTCACTAAAGTTGGTATTCAACCCCCCACTGCTAAATTTGACTGGCTTTAAAAAAAAAAAGTTATTGCTTAAAACAAAGGTTGGGAAAAGTGATATTCTGGCTGACTGACTATACTTAGCCACACCTAATATAGACTGTTATATGTCTAGTAATTGCCTAAACTAGGTAAGTCAAACCTACTAATAACTATGTAATATTACCTCCCTACAAACCTATAACCTGAATGGATATGGCATGGTAAAAATATGTTTCTTTACCAAAAGTCTCTGACTGCATTCAAATTCACAAAACTTTACAATAGTCACAATCTTTAGAATGATGAGTTCTACTTAAAAATTAGAAAAGAATTATTTTTTATCCTTTTAAAGCCATCAGAAAAATGTTCTTCATCCTGAGCTAAATGATGTCACCTTATTTATCATTTGAAGAACTTATTTGTAACTCTAGAAGCCTTCTTTCAAAGTCTGCTAACAATTTAATACTAAATATTTAATGTAAGACCTGACTAAATAGGATACATATGCCAGAGATCAAAACCTTTATGGTACTAATAATTGACATTTATAATTAGATTTGCATATATATACTTAACTATTACAAAAAATGCAGTGGCCTCTTAATTTTCCAAATAGAAAGTTGTTGATTTTGTTGTTGTTATGGAGACAGGGTCTGTGTAGTGGTACAATCACAGCTCAATGGCTTGATTACAGCTCATTGGCTCAAGCGATCCTCCCACCTCAGCCTCCAGAGTAGCTGGCTATAGGCATGTGCCACCATGCCTAGCGAATTATTTTACTTTTTGTAGAGACAGTTTCTCATTATGTTTCCCAGGCTGGTCTTGAACTCCTGGGCTCAAGAGATCCTCCTGCCTCATCCTCTCAAAGAACTGGTATTACAGGAATGAGCCACTGCACCTGGCCAGAAATCTATTTTAAAAATGTAATCTTTCTCGTATTAAATAGGCCCAAAATAATGTGTGTAAACATATGTTAAACAATAGTTTCTATCAAAATAAAGAGAAAAAGTATATAAGTTAATACCTTCATAACTACAATAATAGAAAACATTGAGCGCCTCCACTGCAGCTGGCCCCCTCTGTTTATAGCCAAAAATCAGATCTATCCATTCATGAAGATGAGCAGAAACATATTCAGACTCCTAGAAAAGGAACAAATTTAATAATTAATATAGAGACACCTTCTAACTACACAATGTAAATGTAAATTCAGTTCTTTAAAATAGAGCAAATTAAACATTTCCAGACAAATCTTTCTGCCTGTAAATAAAATTCTTTCAAAATCATGTTAAATGTTTTTTCAGTATCTACTACATATATTAACTATTTGTATCTACTATAATGTAAATATTATATTTACTAATATCAACATATGCATTTAACTAATGGGTGAAGAGAATACAAATATGCTAATAACAGCCCAAATATCAAAAACAAAAGAGTTAAAGATAGCTGTGGAATGCATCTTTGTGGTAAAATTTCCACATATTTGTCTAGAAATTCAAGTCAAGGAAAAAAGGAAAGAAAAAGAAATTCAAATCATGGCAATAATGAAACTACACTGGGGTGGAATAAATAGCTGCAAATCACTTTTCCCCCCTGTACCCACATACCAAGAGGTGGATGGGGTGGCAGGCAGAGATCTCCTGGAGCCTGGTAGTGATAACTTAAAAGACAGTGATGAAATTGTTATGGGAGACAGGATAAAAAGGTAATTAGGGTTTAGTTGCATGAAAGATAGGAAGGGTACCTAATGAACTCATGGATTTGGGTGTGAAGACTTCCAGATAGAACATTTTAAAGTGCCAATTGGCTTCTTTTAGCTGCCTATGATAAATGTATGAGAAGAGTAAGAATTCAAAGGGAATTTTTCCATAGTAACTGCCCATTTGGCCCAAAGTAGAGAAGGGACTGTTTTGTAAAGAAATGTGGAATGGCTTTTGTCCAACAGAGTTGATACATAAGAAACTCATAAAGTTTTAAATAGAATTATACTAGTTCTTTTTTTTTATTTTTGACTCTCTTATATGTTCCTACAGGGAATTATACTAGTTCTGATTAAAAGAGAAACTGTTAAAAAATGAAGAGAGAACTTTGGTTTTCAACTTACTAAGAAAGAGGCTGACAAAGATACTCAAGTAAAAAACAAAGGTCTTTTTGTATGGAAAAGGAAGAATGTTGTTGGGGGGGGGGCAAACACTCAAGGCACTGAGAACCACTCTCAGGAAATAGGACTGGGTCCTAACAAAAGATCTGAGAACATGTCCCTACTAGAATTCATTTTTGTTGTTGTTGTTGTTAGAAATGGGGTCTTGCTCTGTTGCACAGGCTGGAGTGCAGTGGCATGATCATAGCTCACTGCGGCCTATTGGAATTCTGAATTGCTATAAACCAGAGACTACTAGGAGCCTCCCGTTTTTTCTCCCCCTTTTGAATGGGAGTGTCTGTTACAGTTGTGTCCTTTCACACCACTGTTGTCACATGGAGGCAGATAACTTGTCTCTTTAGTTCTGTCCTCAAATCCAAGAGGAGCCACACTTGAGTAGTTTCATCCACACACAGACTTAATTTAGATAATGTGGATCCTGGAATTTAAGTCTCAAGCCTTAATGAGGCAGGTAAGCAAACTACTAGCCTGTGGGTCAAGTCTTAGTTGCTGCCAGATTCGTAGATAAGTAGTAGAACACAGCCATACCCACTTGCTTTTACACTACAATGGCAGAACTGAGCAGCTGTGACACAGACCTTATGGCTAACAAAGGCAGAAAAATGTACTATATGTCCCTTTACAGAAACAGTTTGTCAATTCCTGCCTTAATGAGATGAGACTCTGGGAATGGGGGGTGTCTTGAGAGGAAGTGAGTATATTTTGTATGTAGGAGGAATGTAAATAATTTGTGACCAGAGGGCAGACTGTATGGTGATTAATGATAGCTACAAATTCTTTTTCATTCTTCACCACTGAGAGGTGGAGTTTATTTTCCCTCCTCTTGAATCTGGCATTGATACTGTTACTATTTAACCACTACAAAGTGGCAGAAGCGATGCAATGACAGTTCAGAGCATTATTTAAGAAGGTGTGGAAGCTTCCACTTTTTCACTTTTGGGGATCCCTGAACTGCCATGTAAGAAGTCATCTGGCTACCCAGTCAGCAGGAGAGACCACATGGAGAGGAGATGTCCTGAGACTACATGGAGAGAGAGAAAAGTCCAGCAACCTACTGTGTCTCAATGCAGCCTTTAGATGATTCCAACCTCAGCTGCCAAATGATTACAACTGCATGAGAACCTCAAGCAAGATAAGTAGAAATGTCCAATTGAGACCAGTCAACCCACAGAACTGTGAGAGATGATAAAAGGGCTATATTTTTAAACCACTGAATTTTTGGATAATTTGTTACAAAGCAGTACATAACTAAAATACATATTTCTAACATCTTATTAATATTAATAGATGTTGTGAAAGTTGTCAGAATCAGAATGGAGTCAATGATGGCAAAGCCTAACAAAATGGATTGGAGAGGTCAGAAAGGAGACTCTGATGCACACATGTCTGTGATAAAAATTATTACAAGAATTCTGTGAAAACCACAACCTTGCACAAAGGCCACCGTAACCATACACAAAGAATACTTCTGTCTGCCCAGCAACTGCCTGTTCAATCTTGGACTGACGTCACCCTTGTTATTAACACATTAAGTGCCATGTGTGTTGTATTTAACTCACGCTAGTTTTGAGCTCATGGCCTCATGAAGTGTATGTAACTCACATCAGTTCGGGAGCCAGGAGAACTATTTTTCAAGTTGCATATAACTCATACAGAGAAAAGAATAAAAAATAACAAAATTTTCATTAAATTAGAAAGGATTGTTTTGTTTTTGAAGTTTTTATTCTATCTTTATTTTTTATTTATTTATTTATTTTTTTTAATGCAACAGACTGGCTTAATATCTTCTATCTTTATAATAAAACACCGGGACCCCAAGGAAAAGATTTTTTTTTTCTAGTGTGGCAGTCAATGTGTTAATCCTTGTGGCCAAGGGTAACTGTTTTAAAACAATTTATATAACCTTCTTCATTTTATCTTTAAAACCTTTGCCTTCCTTTGCCTCCCTGGGTATATCTCTGGCTGCCCTCCCTCCCTACCTCCTGGTTTGCTAGGGCATTGGTTATTACCAGATTGCAATCCATTATTCATTTCTGAATAAGTGGTGCTTTTTCTTTTCTTTTTTTGTGACACAGACAGGGTCTTGTCATGTTGCCCAGGTTGACCTTAAATGGCTAGGCTCAAGGGATTCTGCTGCCTCAGCCTCCTGAGTAGCTGGGACTATAGTCATGCACCACTGAGCCCAGCAAAACTCATTTTTTTATAAAACAGCCTTCTGATTTCAAGATTGTTATATTTAAGAACCAAAGAAGGCAAGAAAAACTTCATCTTTTTCTGCTGCATCCCTTTTAATAAAAGGACTTGTTCTGTAAAATTTGGCCTTTTAGTTAAAAGGCCGCACTTAAGGACCTTAAGGACCCAGCCTAGGTTTAGCTACCTTTCTTTTTTTTTTTTTTTGAGACAGACTCTCACTTTGTTGCCCAGGCTAGAGTGAGTGCCATGGTGTCAGCCTAGCTCACAGCAACCTCAAACTCCTGGGTAGCTGGGATTAGAGGCATGTGCCACCATGCCCGGCTAATTTTTTCTATATATATTATTTGGCCAATTAATTTCTTTCTATTTATAGTAGAGACAGGGTCTAGCTCTTGCTCAAGCTGGTTTCGAACTCCTGACCTGGAGCAATTGGCCCGCCTCACCCACCAGAGTGCTAGGATTACAGGTGTGAGCCTCCGCGCCCAGCCTAGATGACAAATTAATATGGAAAAATAATTAACACCAGATATACTTTATCCCATCCTCTGGAAAATATTTATCTTATTAATCTGTCTAATTTCTAAACACAAAAACCTTACCAGAGCTTTCCTATGCTTATAGATGAAGTCTTCAGCTGACTTAGCCCATTTCGGGAGAATGACGTCATTTACTACTTCTTTGGAAACTTGCAGATGACCCAAGTTAAATTCTAAGACATGTAAAAAGAAAAATGTATCAAATCATTTTAGATTTGTGTAAATGAAGTAAAACAAATACAAATGAGGGCACATTCCGAAGCAAAACAGATGTTAGTTTTTCCTTCTTTAACTCTTATCTATTGGAGTACATTCTCTCAGATAATTAAAAAACATAAATTAAAATAAAATAGTTTTAAATTAGTTATTACAAGGTAAATCAGAATAAGAATTAACCATTTTTGTTAAGAAAAATGAGAGGAACTATAGCTACAAGCCTCACCTTAATCTAACCAAAATGCATTAAGTTTTCTTCTTACACTAAAAATAAATAACATAGCTCCTATAATGATTAGTTTACAAAATACAGCTCTTTATAGATTTTTGGCATAACTTAAACTCACTCACTGGAAGAGCTATATTTATCGTCTGGAAGAATAATATATTTATATAGCACTATTCTAAATAGATACTTGCATAACAAAATTTGCTCATATAGTTAGAACATGGCATTTTGAAAAGCTTTCCCCAATATGAGGTTTTCTGGTTCACATAATGTGGCGTGGGAGGTGGGGGTAGGGGTGGGGAAGAGAGGAATGTTAATACAAAAGACCTTCAAAAAAGAAGGCCTTAAAATACCAGGCTTAAAATACCAGTAAGCTGCCTTAAAATATCAGTGTCCCAAGTTGGAGAGAGATTTAAATATCAAGACTGACAATATCCACAGGGTCTTTAGCTTTAAGTTAACCCAATCACTGAGTAGCAGACACTGTTTGTTGCTCACCTGATGGCCGTTTCCCCTTCTCATTTGCTAGCAGAATATTTATTTATTTATTTCAGAGGGTCTTCCTATCTACCTATCTATTTATTTTAAAGACAGGGTCTTGCGCTGTAGCCTAGGCTGGAGTGCAGAATTAATTAATGAATTAATTAGACAGGGTCTTGCTATCTATCTATTTTAAAGACAGGGTCTTGTTCTGTAGCCTAGGCTGGAGTACAGTAGTGCAATTAAATTAATATAATAGCTCACTATAACCTCAAACTCCTAGGCTCAAGCAATCCTCCCACCTTAGCTTCCCTAAGTGTTGGGATTACAGATGTGAGCCACCACACTTGGCCCTTTATTTCATTTGAATGTCCACCTCTGCCCTATGTCATGCTCATTCCAGGTGACCTGTTTAGAGGTTGCTATATGATCCAGCTCTGGAGAATGAGGAGAGGTTATGACAAATAGTTTTTTACTCTTAGGAAAGGACACAATGGACAAACAGTATCACTTCTTTCTAAGATACTGTTGTATCTGTCTATGTTGCCTAAAACTGCTTCAGTCATTTGTTAACTATGAGAGGAACTAGCCAAAGCCAAAACGCTCAGAAGGGCAGTGTGAAAATACAGAAAAAGTTGGCCTTGATGACCTAAAGCTACCTAAAACTATCATACCTCAGGGGTTTTATTAAGGAAAATACTAAAATTTCCTTGTTTGCACAATTTTGATTGAGTTTTAATAGTTGTCCCTGAAGGCATTCTAACTGAAGTATTTGTCTTCTTCCACTCAGCTCCTTTCAAAGAGGCAATATATAGTTAGAAATGGAATCCATCAGGACAGTAGTGCTAAGGACAGCAATTAGCTCTGATGAGTATCATAAATTGTCAAGCTAAACTTGAACTCTGCATCCAAATTTAGTCTGTTTATCCCTTCTATTCCAGATACCCTGCTTTAGGAGACTCAAGTTCAATGGCTGACTGAGAGTCTAGCATCAGACTCAGTCAATAGATTTACATGATTTCCTGAAAGTCACCAATTCTAACTGTCTTACTCTGAAAATCAGATGCCCTGCCTCCAACAGCTTGTCGTGGAATACATGATCAAAGTGACATTAAGCCCTGAATATGCTCTCCCCAACATGATAAAGAATTTGACTGAATAAGTGAAGGGTTAAATATTAATATTATTTATGTTTATTTTTGTGTGCTTTTTTAAATTTTTTTAAATTTCAGCATATTACGAGGGTACAAATGTTTAGGTTACATATATTACCTTTGCCTCACCTGAGTCAGAGCTTCAAGTATGTCCACACCCCAGACAGTGCGCACCACACCCATTAGGTGTGTATATACCCATCCCCTCCCTCACCCTCCCATCTGTGCAACACGCGATGAATGTTATTACATATGTGCACTTAAGTGTTGGTCAGTTAATATCAATTTGATGGTAAGTACATGTTTATGTTTAAAAATAAATGCAAAACTACCTCAAAGAAAAAGTATTTGAACATTTTAAAGTATATTTCCTGCCATGCTTCTCTATGAATTTTCAAATACTGTAATAACTTATACCCTGTCATTATTTTCAATTTGCCTACTCTTCTATGCTCTAAATCAAGAGTTGGCAAACTTTTTCTATACGAGGTCAAAGAAGAAATATTTTTGGCTTTGTGAGCAATATGGTCTCTGTTCCAACTACTCAAATCTGCTGTTACACTTTGAAAGTACCTATGAACTGGCTAGCTGTGTTCCAATGAAACCTTATATATGTGAGTTTGTCCATGGATTTGGTTCTGTAGACCAACTCTAAACCCTCACCTTATCTAACTCAAAGACTTTTTTTTTTTGAAACAGAGTCTCACTCTGTTGCCTGGGCTAGAGTGCCATGGCATCAGCCTAGCTCACAGCAACCTCAAACTCCTCGGCTCAAGCAATCCTTCTGCCTCAGCCTCCCGAGTAGCTGGGACTACAGGCATGGGCCACCATGCCTGGCTAATTTTTTCTATTTATTTTAAGTTGTCCAGCTAATTTATTTCTGTTTTTTTAGTAGAGACAGGGTCTTACTCTTGCTCAGGCTGATCTTGAACTCCTGACCTCAAGCAATCCACCCGCCTTGGCCTCCCAGAGTGCTAAGATTACAGGCGTGAGCCACCACACCCGGCCAACTCAAAGACTTTTAAACTAAGAAGAGTATATGGCTGAAATAGCATATGGCCACTTTTGCTTCTCTAGTAAACACTGTAGTCTGATAAATTCTCTTACCAATTCAAATTTGACTCATTTATCTTACTTCCCAACAGCACTTTCCTGGAAGTTAAGATTAGTACCATCAGTTAAGCCCTTTCACTAAGAAATCTACAGACAAACTGAACTTTAAATAATCTACAGGACATTACAAAAATGTACTGAAAGACATTTTTTAGGCTGCTTCATTGGGACTTGCTGAGTCAAGTTTCTAATCCATTATTTCTTACCATTTTGATTTTCCAAAAACTCGGGGAAATAAAAGAATTCAGGAATAAGTTCTTTCACATCATATGGATTATCCATAAGAGCTTGCCAGGTAGCCGGGATGGAATGGAACTGTCTATCTGCACAGTCAAACCTGCATGTAGAAATTGAAAGAGAATAAATATTGAATGAGAGCAAAAACGAAGCATGAAACAAAACCTTTAAACTCCCTTAAAGTTTCCTAATGATTAGAGCTGTTCTTTTCTTAATTTTTCTCTTTAGTTTTTACTTTTATGTGTTTTTTTTGTTTGTTTGTTTTTTGATACAGGGTCTCACTCCATCACCCAGGCTGTAGTGCAGTGGCTCAATCGTAGCTCACTGTAACCTTAAACTCCTAGGCTCAAGCGATCCTCCTATCTTATCCTCACACCCAGCTCTTTTATAGAGACACAGTGGTCTTGCTACGTTGCCACAATTTCCTCTCCTTATTAGGATAATCTATCTTTAATATTTTGTTGTCAGGAACTCAGGAACTAAATACTGTAATTTTAATCACTGGTATCATCTTAGTTGAAAACCAAATCACACTGGAGAAAAACTTCATGTAAATTAAATACTAAGAGACTTTTTAAAAAATAGCATAATTTTTGCCGAGTAAAATTACAAAAAGAGAATGTTATTTTAATATTTGAAAATCACAGAGTTTAAATATAACTAAATAGTATAGTACTAATATACTTGGTTAATAGATCTATAGGAATGCTGCTGATTTAATTCACGATACATGAACATCTTTACAAACTCTTCTGCTTATTTATTTACTTATTTAGTAAATAGAGATGGGGTCTCACTCTTGCTCAGGCTGGTCTTGAACACCTGATCTCAAGTGATCCTCCTGCCTTGGCCTCCCGGAGTGCTAGGATTACAGGTGTGAATCCTAGCTAAGCCAACAAACTTCTACTTAATCCCAGAGGGTGAGTTAGGGAAATAGCTCTGTGGTTACAGCATTTGTATTTTACTTGCATATACTATCATATTAATTTCATTTAATTTTAATTAATTAATCTTATTTATTTAAATTTCACCATGGGCACTCTGAGTCTACAGTGGTTGGAAAAAGCTCAAGTGATTATGCTGTGATTGTATTAAGCATCCCTAATCACACAAAGCATGAATCCCTTCTGTTTTATTTCCTTTAATATTGTTTTCCTGGATTTATTAAGTAAGTATGTAGTAGCCTTGAGTCTGATCAGGTACAGCCATGCTATAAAGGAAAATGACACTGATGACTAATTTGATTGTTTTTTTAGTATCTATTAATTTTGGTTTGAGGCAAAGCTGATCTTAAGGGAACTTTAAATATACATCGGACCATCTAAAAAGTCTAATGGTGGTATATTCATACTCAAGGAGAGGTATAGCTTTAATTGAGATAAAATTAACATGCCATATAATTCACTCATTTCAAGTGGACAATTCAACGGTTTAATTTGTAACCACCACAATCAATTTTAGAACATTCTTATCACACCAAAAAGAAATGCTGTACCTGTTAGCAGTCACTCCCTATTCACCCTACCCTTACCACCTGGCAACTGCTAATCTATTTTCTCTCTCTATGGATTTGCCTACTTTGGGTATTTCATGCAAATCATGCAGTATGTGGGCTTTTGTGTCTGGTTGATTTCATTTAGCAAATTTTCAAGGTTCATCAATATCATAGCATGTATCAACACTTCATTCCTTTTATCCATTTATAGCTAAATAATATTCTATTGTATGAATATATAGCATTTATTTATTCATTTATTAGTAGATGGACACTTGGGTTCTTTCTATTTTTTGGTTATAAATAATGCTGCTATGAACATTTATGTACAAGTTTTTGTGTGAACATATGTCTTCAATTATATTGAGTCTGTATCTAGGAGTGGAATTGCTAGGGCTTATGGTGCTAATATGGTTTGGATATGGTTTGTTTGGCCCCATCAAGTCTCATGTTGAAATTTGATCCCCAATGTTGGAGGTGGGACCTGGTTGGAGGTATTTGGATCATGGGAGTGGATCCCTATGAATGACTTGGTGTCATTCTCACAGGTGTGAGTTCTCATTCTCAGTTCTTGTGAGAACTGGCTGTTGAAAGAGCCTGCCACATCCCCTACTCTTGCCATGCAATCTGCACATGTTGTCTCCCCTTCGCCTTTCACCGTGAGTGGAAGCAGCCTAAATCCTTCACCAGAAGCAGATGCTGGCACCATGCTCCTTGCACAGCCTGCAGGATCATGAGCCAAATAAACTTCTTTTCTTCGTAAATTACCCAGCTTCAGGTATTCCTTTATAGCAACACAAAATGAACGAAGACATATGGTATCAATATTAATAATTCTATGTTTAACCTTTTGAGGACTATTTTCCAGAAAGGCTGCACCATTTTACAGTCCCACCAGTAGTATACAAGGGTATCAATTTCTCAACATGCTCATCCACACTAGTTATATTATTTTTTGATTATATCCATTGTAAGTGGTTTTGATTTGATTCCCCCAATAACTCATGATATTTAGCATCTTTTCATGTGTTTATTGAATGTTTACATCTTCTTAGGAGAAATGTTTATTCAGATCTTTTGTCCATGTCTTTTTTTTTTCCCTGAGAGACAGGGTTTTTCTGTGTTGCCCCAGCTAGAATGCAGTGGCATCATCATAGCTCACTGCAACCTCCAATTCCTGGGCTCAAGCAATCCTCCTGCCTCAGCTTCCTGAGTAGCTGGTCTACAGGTGTGCACAACCACACCCAGCTAATCTGTGTGTTTTTTGTAGAGACAAGGTCCCACTCTTGCTCAGGCTGATCTTCAAACTCCTGGCCTCAAGCAATCCTCCTGGCTTGGCCTCCCAAAGTGCTAGGATTACAGGCGTGAACCAAGATGCCTGGACCCTATGTCAATTTTTTAGCATTTGTCTTTGTATTATTTAGTAGTAAGGGTTAGTTTTTCTTTTTAAAGAGACAGGGTCTCACCATTATCATGTTGCCCAGGCTGGACTCAAGCTCCTGGGCTCAAGTAATCCTCCCACTGCAGCCACTCCAGTAGCTAGGACTTCAGGTGAGTGCCACCATGCCTAGCTTGGAAGGATTTTTTATATGTTCTATATACAAGTCCCTTATCACTGTGGTACCCATCTCCCGCCACCCCCAATACAGGAGGAGGCAACAGGTGGGCGAGCAAAGCCCCACCTGCACCCATAGCCGCATCCCATCTCTGGCATCACTGCACAGAAAATTCACGGAGAAGTTAGTTTCCTTAGGATTATTAGAAGAATGCGAAATGTAGGTAAGTTATAGTACTCACAGGCAACACACTAATATAGTGATACCACAGATCTCTTTGAGCTGCTGCTACAATGTATGTGTCTTTTATTGCTCCCTTTTTCTACTCCTCTTGATAAATGTTTTTAAGACTACATAGGCAATGGTTAGATTGAATTCTCTCTAAATCAGATCGAATTCTAAACCTCTGATAGATTTTTCAAAAGAGTAAGAATCACAAAGGTGCACTGGGTTGACACTGAAAAAGGAATTCTCCATAAAAGTCACTTGTGTGAGTCAGTTTGAGTGACTCATTCTCAAACTAGTTTGGCTATTTTTAACAGAATCAAAACCTAATAGAGGAGAATAAAAAAAGACATGGCCCTGTTACAAAGTACATGACAAAAAGCAAATACTTTTCAACACTAATATGTAGTCGTCATAAGAAAACAGCTTATTTACTCAAAACATACCTTCCACTCTGAAGCTGGATATGGAGGGTGGTGAATGGTTCTACACGGATGAGATAGTGCATGACCCCCGCAGAATTTGAATAGTGAGTACCATAATGAAACTTATCAATAGTTCCCATAGGATCCTCAAAATTTTCATATCTATAAAAAAACCCACAAATTTTGGGGCATAAGTTTATATTGTATTACTAATAATAGTCTTTAAAAAGTCAGTCCTTCTTTATATGCTTTATTATTCATATTATCACATCACATTAATAAATGAAAAGTTTCATTCCTTAATACTTTTTTTCTGAACAATGAAAAATCACTAACACTGGATTCTGGAACAGTTTTGCATCATGCAATAATAATACATGTTCATTGGATGGTAAGATGCAATAGTAGAATAAAAAAAAAGAAAATAAGTATGAAAGAAAAGAGAAATTTAACAAAAAAAAAGAAAAAAAAATAATACTTGTTCAGAGGGGGAGGAGGGGATGGGTATATTCAAACATAATGAGTGAGATATACAATGTTTGGGGGATGGTCACACTTGAAGCTCTGACTCAAGGGGGACAAGGGGGCATGGGCAATTGTACCCCCATAATATGCTGAAATAAATAAAATAAATAAAGTTCACAGTCTGAAACCACACACACACACAAAAATAATAATACATGTTCACTGTAGAAAAATTAGAAAACGAAGATGATTAAAACAGAAGAAACTTAAAATCAAGTATAATTCCATGTCCTAGAGATAATTAACATTAACTTTTTGGTGAATATTTGTCTATCCTAATGTATACATTAATATACAAATATTTTTAACTAAAAGTACTGTACATAATGTATTGTTCACAACTTATTTTTTCGTTTATGAATTTCCTATTGACATCTTTCTAAGTGATTGAATAGTCTATTTTTAACATGTACATAATATTAAACTGTATGGATATACCACAATTTAACTATTTCTTTACTTTTAAACACTTTGGTTGTTTCCATTTTTCTGCTAGGAAAAGCAATGTGATAACTAGACATTCTTTTGTGCCAAGGTAATAGAAAAAATATGGGGAACCAGTCAAGAATTGTGGAAATTAATGCCTAGAAATCTAATGGTAAAAGAAAAAGGAGATGGTGGATAGGAAAAAGACCTAAACAAAATTATTAGCAAATGATATCTAGTGATTCTGCAAATTCGATGACTGATACTTAAATGTATAATTGGTCTCAGTGGTGACTTCTGAATTAGTGTGTATAAAATCTGAATAAGAATGACAAGTTTTATAGATGCAATAAACATTGAACTTTAAAACCAAAATAGTAATCTGGGCCAGGCACAGTGGCTCATGCCTATAATCCTAGCATTCCAGGTGGCCTAGGTGGGAGGATCAATTGAGGTCAGGAATTCAAATACAGCCTGAGCAAGAGTAAGACTCTGCCTCCACCAAAAATAGAAAAAAAATTAGCCAGGCAACTCCAAATAGAAAAAATAAGGTGGGCATGGTGGCACCCGCGTGTAGTCCCAGCTATTCGGGAGGCTGAAATAGGAAGATCACTTGAGCTCAGGACTTTGAGGTTGCTGTGAGCTAGGCTGACATCACAGCGCTCTAGCCTGGGCAACAAAGCGAGAGACTCTGTCTCAAAAAAAAAAAAAAAAAGTAATCTGTTCATCAAGCTGAGGTCAATTTCCTTTTACATAGTAATTAGTAATATTTAGGGAAATAAAAGTTGAGAGGTCAAAGTCATTTGTATTGATACAAAAATATGCCATCTGGCTTGGGTGTGGTGGCTCATAAGTGCCTGTAATCCACTTTGGGAAGCTGAGGCAGAAGCATCAGCCTGGGTGTTTGAGATCAGCCTGGGTCACATGGCATCTGAACAAAAAATAAAAAAATTAGTCAGGCGTAGTGGCGCATGCCTGTAGTCCCAGCTACTTGGAAGGCTGAGATGGGAGGATCCCTTGGGCCCAGGAGTTCAAGGCTACAATGAGCTCTGATTGTGCCTCTGCATCCCCACCTGGGCAATAGAGTGAGACCCTATCTCTAAAAACAAATATGCCATTAAAATTTAAAACAACTTGTATCTTTGGTTACCAATAAAATAAGTTATTCATATAAATAATTCCTGTGGAACATTGTTTAAAAAAAACACAAAACCTTTTTTTGGTTATTATCAGAAAAAAGTTTGACTAATGGCAGTTACTGAATACATATATACACAGCCAAGTTCCACTGGTAAATCAAATAATAAACACATCAAAAATTCTCGGGAAGATTTGCAAAGAAAAAGTAAAAAAAAAAAAGTACCACCTACTTTCAAATGAATCTGTAACTAAGTTAGTTTGCAAAATAGTTCTTTGTTTTTATTATAAGTCATAACTGAAAAGTCACCCACAAATTCACATGGAGAAGAGGGAAATTAAAATCAGATTATTCTTTTGCCAGTGGGCAGCTTGCTTCAAAAACAATTATGAGAAGTTGACAGGTGGATCATAAATAAATAGAACTATAAAAATTTTTTTCTTATTAAATGACTATCTAAATTCTTACACATTTCATTGTTCTTTATTCACACTACTACTGAATGACAAGATTAGATTATTCTATATCTAAATATTATTATATTACATGGATATTTTTATATACATGTTAGTTTAGTTAGGTTATAAAGCTTAAAATACGTGGGAAAAAAAATTTCAAGGACCTATTATCCTTTAGCACATACTACAAGATAAAAAGAAATTCTGAGCTACATTAACATAAATTTGTTGAAGAAGGCAAATCAGAAAGATTATACTTAAGATATTTAAAGGGCAACCAAGATATTTTCAAGAAAACTCAGTGAAGCAAATTATATGACTCTGATTATCAAAAGTATTTGTGCATTTAAAAATAAAAACACACATTTGGTTGGCCATAGTAGAAATCCATAAAAATTCAAATGAGCAATGGGTATCTTTCAATAGGAATAAAAAGCACTTACTTTTCTCGCATAGCTTTGGCATTTTTATCATTAACTACCCCAATTGGTTTGGAAAGATCTCGAAATACAGCAGGGTTATTAAGATCCAACTCTTCTGAAGTATAATCTTGTAAAATCCAGGGAAACTAAAAGAGCCACAATTTACAATTTAGACATTCTTTCCTAGAGATGCTAACATCTCCATATCTAATAGCAAATACTTACTTAAAGACAAAAAGAGATAGTTTCTAAAAGCAATTTTTTCCCTCTTGCAAATATTTATTCATCTTTAGTTCGATAACTAGAAGAATAATTTCCTATAATACCACTGGAACAATTTCAATGAAGTGAATGAAAAACAGCTTTTATTTTTTAATTACTCATCATGTTTATATACTTTTTGAAAATAGAATAGAAAATATACAAAAAGGAAAAAAGTCATATATTTTTTAAAAATCTAAAATAAATATCATGCATATACTTTTTTTATAATTAATTCTTTTAGGAGCTGGTGCAGGTGCACATGCATATACTTTTGTATATTATAAAATCATAAAGCAATTCAACATTTATGAGATTTATATAAAACTTACCACAGGATACTGTGCAAGGTCATTATAGGTTCTTCCTGCCATTGTATTTATTTGAATGAGATAGTCAAAATTTGATATCTCTCTATTCACCCATTTCTAGACAGCACAAAAAAGAGCAATATCAAAATTAGATAATCTACATCTCTAGGAACTGGTAACTGTTACTGATTATACCAACACAACCTTTTGTAACCATTATCTCTATCGTTTTCACAATAAAAGGAATGAGCTAAAAAATAAATGTTTAACAGGGAGATAAATCAATAAAGTTTTCCTAAATTCACTTCCTTTTAAAAATTGGTCTCTAGAGAATTCAATATAAATACTATAGTGTAAAAGGTCTTGACAAGAATTAAATCTTTTGGGCTGGTCCAAGTACGGTGGTGTTCACAACTAACTGATCACAACCAGTTTCAGATTCCTTTGTTCCTTCCCCACTCCCACTACTTCACTTGACTAGCCTTAAAAAAAATAAAACTTAAAAAAAATTAAGTCTTTTCTTAAAAAAAAAAAAAAAAGACTGTTCTTCAATTAAATATTTTATTTGAATACCTTAAAAATTTTAATCCTAGGACTATGCCACTTTGAAAAGTTTATTATAAACTAAAATTTTATAAGTATACATATTAAAACACAATATTTTAGTATTCTAGAACTATATAAAAATTTTCATGGAACATTACATTAATTATCCTCAGAGAACTACCTTTATAAAGCCATGATAGGTAGAATTTTGCTATATAAGATATAAATTTTCTAAAGAGATAATCATTCTGGATGGGAAGATATTTAACTTGAGTAAAGTAAAAAAAAATAAAATGAATTTTAAAAAATAACTTAAAAAAAAAGAGATAATCATTATTTTCTATTAATTACCTCACTGTATCTAGCCTTCTAATTATTTTACACAGCGAAAGTGTGCTTGACAATTTTATTGACATATTAACATTCACCTTTAAGTTTACTGTGTGCCTTAAGCAAAGGACATTTATGGGGAATAGTGAGAAGTGAAATCTATATATACAGATTTTACAGAAAGCCCAATTATTCTTGAGTGCCAAGTGGAGGAACTTAATGAATAAAGTTTATTGTACAGGCAACAGGAAATGTACTTTATTAAATAAAACTTATATCACTGGCAACAGCAAAGAATTACTGATGGCTCTTGAGAAAGAGAGATACTTAAGAAAGATTAATGCATATGTGGGAGGAAGGAGAGAGCCAGGAGGCAAAAGACTCTGATTAAGAGACTACTAACAGTCCTGGAAAGCAAATAACAGTCGTCCTTTGGGTTCTGGCAATACAAATTCAAGAGATGCTGAGATATAAGTGAGGCTATAATTCACAAGAGTATTAATTAGCTTTACCTGGTAGAAGAATTGGAAATTACTTTTTGTCTTTTTTCCATGGAACTTTTGCATTTTCCTGTTTGTTTTTTTTTTAACCTCATGTATGGATTACTTTTATTAGTAAGAAAGAAACCACATTTTTAATTTTTTTAAAAGAGAAAATTATTAAAGGATGTATCTATGAGCTGATTGATATTGGGGGGCACTGTCTGTATGAAGGAAACAAAGGAATATTCAAAGATAATTCAAAAGATCAGTCTGAATAGAAACATAGCCATAGGAATAATCAAAAGAAAATAATCAGAAGAAGTAAGTTTTTTACTTTTTTAATATGGAACACTTCACCAACTGGCTAGTCATCTTTGCATAGGGGCCATGATAATCTTCTCTACATTGTTCCAATTTTAGTATATGTGCTGCCAAAGCGAGCATGTAAGTTTTACTTTTAAGCAAAAGTCTGAGATAAGAAATGAACACCAAAACAGCAACTGTTAAAATTTCCTACCTGTGTCAATCCTGATGTCTTGAATAACTCCTGTGGTGATCTGCTTCCGTAACTATTTGGAGAATGAAGTGACAACAGTCTGCTATATACTTTGTTTCTAACCTATAAAAATAGCATTTTATAGTTCAAAAACTAATCAAGATAAATTTGGATTATAGACATTATAACAGCTTTTTTAAAGATATAATTCATCCTTTTAAAGTATAAAATTCAGTGGTTTTCAGTATATTCACAGAGTTGTGCAACTATCACCATTATTTAACCTTAAGAAAAAAATTTTTTTATTTGACAATATATATAAGCCTATCCCGTTTCTCTCTAAAACCTTAAGAAAATTTTAATTGCCCCAAAAAGAAACTCTATATTCATTAAGAGTTACTAGCCAATTCTGCCTCCTTGCCATTCCCTAGCAATCACTAAGCTAATTTCTTGTGTATGGATTTGCCTATTCTGGACATTTCATATCAACAGTGGATTATGGTTTTAATTTCTCTACTATACTTGGTGAAGTCAAAATATGTATCTTTTGTGAAAGTTACAATGTATAATGGAAAGATCACTAGACTCTGAATCAGAAAACTTGCTCAAGTCTAGTTCAGATTTAGTTCTGATAATCATCTTGGCAAATCAATTAATTTACTGAGTCTCATTTGTAAGTTAAACATAACCTCTACTCTTACAATATTGTGAATTATTCAGAGCTATACAAATGTAAAGTAATAAAATTCACCTTTGAACTTTAGTTTCTTCATCTATAAAAAAAGGAATGGAATTTGCCATATTTATTCTCAAGGTTGTTATAAAGAGTAGATACTATATACAAATGTGCTTTAAAAACTATAAAGTTATACAAATGTACAGTATTTAACAAGGGCAGCCTTAGCTTAATTACGTGTCGCAGCTTTTGTATTTTCCTATTGTGTTAAACTGGGTCCTCTGAGAAGCAAATGCCAAGACAGAATAAGCATGCAAGGATTTTATTAGGGGAGATGCCTATGAGAGAAAACGGGAGTGCTAGGCAAGGTGGGAAGAGTTGTCAGACCACAATACAAGTGTGACTTCAAGAAAATGAAAGAAAGAAGGAAGGGATTGGGGCCACACATCCTAAAGGCATGAGCTCAAGCTCACACAGCTAGTGAAGGATACAGGACCTGGGCCTGCAAAATCTGGCTTCAGAGCCTGTATGCTTGACAATTTACACTATCTAATAATTTATTGTATTCCTAGAAGAAATAGATGCCCCATTATGATTGAACTTGAACTCAACCTAATTAATAAATCTAGTCATATCTTATATATTGTATCCATTGTATCCAACGAGGTACCTTTTGATTGACACTCAATATTCTAGTGACTACTTATTTAAACATACATAATAACTGAAAACCATTACCCCCTGAACATTCAAACATAACCCCCCCAAATTTTCACACACTAAATAGCCCCCAAGGTATATATTTTTTCCTCTAATATTTTATCTTGACAAAAGAATACAGTTCAAAATTCCATTAGAGCTCACTAGCTGGAAAATTATTTCAAGCTAATACTTTGGGATTTTCAGAAAGGAACCACATTATCTACCTCCTTTTTAAAATTGAGAAAGTAGTTGGATTGGTCAACATGAAAAATCTCAAGGGCTGATCTCCTTAAGTTGTAACGCCGTAGGTGAATCTCTCGAACTTGAGAATGAGGCCACTTGAAATCAAAGCCTACTCCTGAAAACAGAAGAAATCTTATGACTGAGGTATCATATAAAGTTACATGTGCTATGCAGAAAATATCTCCTAGTTTCTGACAAAAGTAGCACTTAGGGAAAACAAATTGAATTTCTATATTATGCAAACCATTTGGTAAATTCCTTGGATGTTGTTTCTTTTTATTTTGAGACAGAGTCTCACTCTGTTGCCTGGCCTACAGTGGCATCAGCCTAGCTCACAGCAACCTCAAACTCCTGGGCTAAAGCAATCCTACTGCCTCAACATCCCAAGTAGCTAGGAGTACAGGCATGCGCCACCATGCTTGGCTAATTTTTTATATATATACTTTTAGTTGTCCAGCTAATTTCTATTTTTTGTTGTTGTTGTTGTTCTAGTAGAGACAGGGTCTCACTCTTGCTCAGGCTGGTCTTGAACTCCTGAGCTCAAAGGATCCGTCGGCCTCGGCCTCCCAGAGTGCTAGGGTTACATGCGTGGCACACCATGCCCAGCCTGGATGTTGTTTCTTTTAAAACTATTTTAAAATTGTATAGCTATTCCACTGCCTTCCTGTGAGAATAGAGAATAATTCTGAATACTGTATCTTAGAAACAGTTTTCTTTTTCTCTTTATGTTGGCATCTTAGATTTAATCATCCATTTATTATCCCATAAAGGATTAGGTGAGAAGCCTACAGGAATAAATACACATACAAAGATTTGATAAAATTAAGATTGTATTTTATAATCTATGTTTATAGCAATCCCCTCTAGCCAAACTTTTTTTTTTTTTTTTTGAGACAGAGTCTCGCTCTGTTGCTTGGGCTAGAGTGCCATGGTGTCAGCCTAGTTCACACCAACCTCAAACTCCTGGGCTCAAGCGATCCTTCTGCCTCAGCCTCCCAAGTAGCTGGGACTACAGGCATGTATCACGGTGCTCGGCTAATTTTTCTACATATTTTTAGTTGGCCAATTAATTTCTTTCTATTTTTTCAGTAGAGACGGAGTCTCGCTTTTGCTCAGGCTAGTTTCAAACTCCTGAACTTAAGCGATCCTCCCTCCTCGGCCTCTCAGAGTGCCAGGATTAGAGGCATGAGCAACCGCGCCTGGCCTAGCCAAACCTTTTAAAATACTTTAATAATAAAAAGGCATTCCCTTCAATACATTGTTGAATAATATTGACTTTCCATTTTTCCTTTCACTTGATACACTATAATTTCCCAGTCTCAGCTTACTGCTTTTTTCTTCTCATTCATGATTGATAAACTGGATACTTAATTATTGAACAATAAAAATTATTCTCTTAGAACTCCTTACCATCTTCTTTTTCAATGCTGCCATCATAGAAGTAAATATGTTGAGTAGTGATTTCTAATCTGCCAGGAATTACATCAATTATTGTAATGAGTTCACAGTCTTCCATCAATATCAATTTTTCTTTTTGATCTTGTTCTTTTTCATCACTGTAAAAACAAATAAAAAACACTGAATAATTTATCTTTCTCAAATGGAAAAGAATACCATATTCAAATATAAATCTCATGTCTATAAAATTCATGTCCAAAACCAGTATTTGAATTACTTACAAAAATTCTACTATATATTAAATCAATATTATCCAAATATTTTTATTTTTCAATGATTCAGTTTCATAAAAAATATGCTTTATATTCCAATTTTAAATGACCCATGAAAACAAAATATAGTGAATCTTTAATACAATTGCCAGAGGACAGTTCAAAATGCAGCAATATTGGTCATATCATTTTAGTTATATTCTGGAAGACATGAATTGACTCAGGGAATATAAAAATTAGTGAATAAAAGATTGCATTATTAGTGGTGTTTTATAAATAATTATTAGAAGTTTCAAATATGATTCTTAAACTGTAAAATGAAGAATTTCAAGGGTAACTAAAACCAGAGCATCATAATCACACTATCTGCCTGAAAACACAAGTAGAGATAATAGAAAAATCTACTATTGCCATACCTTACTTAAAGTGAAGTATCCTTATATTTGGAGGAATGTTATCATTTATATTCGTTGGAGGGAGTAACCAGAAAGGGACATTTTTCTAGTGGTCTGTGACTTTAGCTGAGAAGTACGGAAATGGGTGCTCCTACCATTCATAGTATGTTATTCAAGTAAATCATTTAAGCCAGCTACTCTCTGGTCCTAAATATTTCAAATTTACCTCATATCCAGATTAGCAATGACTAAGTTTAATTTTGTTTCCAGTAAGTTTCTGTGAAGAAGGTCTGCAAGTATTTGCAAGTATTAATAGCTTAGCTGGTGGCCAGACATGGTGGCTCACGTCTATAACCCTAGCACTCTGGGAGGCCAAGGCGGGCGGATCGCTCAAGGTCAGGAGTTCGAAACCAGCCTGGGCAAGAGCAAGTCCCCGTCTCTACTAAAAATAGAAAGAAATTAAGTGGCAAACTAAAAATATATAGAAAAAAACTAGCTGGGCATGGTGGAACATGCCTGTAGTCCCAGCTACTCGGGAGGCTGAGGCAGAAAGATGGCTTGAGCTCAGGAGTTTGAGGTTGCTGTGAGCTAGGCTGACACCATGGCACTCTAGCTGGGGCGACACAGTAAGACTCTGTCCCAAAAAAAAAAACCCCACTATCCTTCACAAATCAATACAATGGTGCTGGGACAACTGGATAATCACATGCAAAAGAATACATTTGGATTCCTGCATCATGCCATATACAAAAAGAAACTCAAAATGAATCAAAGATCTTAATTTAAGAGGTAAGTATAAAACTCTTAGAAGAAAGCAAAAGAGTAAATCTGCATAACTTTGAACTAGGAAATAGTTTCTTACCTCTGACACTAAAAGCCTAAGAGACCAAAGAAAAAATAGATAAATTAGATGTAATCAAAATTTAAAACTTCTGCATCAAAGGATAACATCCTGAAAGTGAAAGACAACCCTGTGACTGGGAGATAATATTTACAGATCGTTTATCTGATAAGGGACTTATATAGAGAATACACAAAGAACACTTATAACTCAATAGTAAAAAGACAACTCAATTTAAAAATGGGGCCAGGCGTGGTGGTTCATGCCTGTAATCCTAGCACTATGAGATTCCGAGGCAGGAGGATCATTTGAGCTCAGGAGTTTGAGACCAGCCTGAGCAAGAGTAAGACCCCGTCTCTACTAAAAATAGAAAGAAATTAATTGGCCAACTAAAAATATATAGAAAAATTAGCTAGGCATGGTGGCGCATGCCTGTAGTCCCAGCTACTCAGGAGGCTAAGGCAGAAGAATTGCTTGAGCCCAGGAGTTTGAGGTTGCTGTGAGCTAGGCTGACACCATGGCACTCTAGACCGAGCAACAGAGTGAGACTCTGTCTCAAAAGAAAAAAAGAAATATAAAAATAGGCAAAAGATTTGCACAGGTATTTCTTCAAAGAAGACATATAAATGGCCAATACACGTATGAAAAGATGGTCAACATTAACAGTTGCCAGCAAAATGCTAATGAGATACTTCTTTAAACCTCTAGTATAGCTATAATAAATTTTTAAAAGCACAAGGAAAACACCTAAAGTTGGGGTAGATGTGGAAAAATTAGAACCCTTGTACATTACAGTAGAAATATAAAATGATGAAGTCATTGTAAAAAAGTTTGGTAATTCCTCAAAAGGTTAAACAGAATTTTCTTATGACTCAGCAATTCCATTCCTAGGTATATATCCAAGAAAATGGAAACTTATATTTACACAAAACTTGTACATGAACATTCATAGAATACTATTCATAATAGCTAAAAAGTAGAAACAACCTAAATGCCTATTGACTGAAGAATGGAAAAGCAAACAGTGGTACATCTACAAATGGAATATTATTCAGCCATAAAAAGGCATGAAGTACTACGATAAGCTACAACATAGATGAATCTTGAAAACATTATTCCAAATGAAATAAACCAGACACAAAAGGACATATATTTTATGATTTATAAGAAATGTCACAAAATCTACAAATCCACAAAGAAAATAGGTATGTAGTTGTCAGGACATGTAGGGAAGGAAAAACTACTAAAAGGTATAGGATTTCCTTTTGGGGTGCTAGAAATGTTCTGAAATTAGATTGTGGTGATGGTTGTATAATGTTGTGAATATATTAAAAAACCACTGAATTGTATACTTTAAGATGAAACATTTTATGTTACGTGAAATATATATCATGATTAAAAAATTAAAGACCTCCCTGGATGACAAACTGAGAGAATTTGTGAATATCAGACCTTCCTTACAAGAAATACTAGAAGACGTCCTTCAGGCTAAATGGAAATGACAACAGATGATAAATGAATACACACAAAGAAATGAAGTGCACAAGTGTGATAATTATGTAGGTAAATATTTTTTTAAAGTATAAAATACGTATTTTCCTCTTTTGTTTCCTTAAATGATTAAAAGACAACTGCATAAAACAGTAATTATAAAATTGTATTTGTTGGGCTTATAATATACAAAAGTCTAACATACACGACAATATAACACAACAGAGATGAAGAAATTAATATACTTTATATTTGCTTAGGGGAAGTTTTTAAACTATATATTCAAATTTTAAAAATATATCTAAGACTATTCAGGTTATCTATTTCTTCTTGCGAGAGGTTTGGTAATTTATGTCTTTCAAGGAATTTGTTTCATTTACGTTGTCAAATTTATTGGCATAAAATTCCTTTTTAATCATTTTAATATTTGTAACAATATCTCCTCTTTCATTCCTGATATAGGCAATTTAGGTTGTCTTTCTATAATTATTCCTAATCAGTCTGGCTAGAGGTTTATGATTTTTTCTATTCATTTGTTTTTAATAACCATCTTTTATTTTATTTTTTTTCTTTTCTCTCTCTCTCTTTTTTTTCTGAGATAGAGTCTTGCTCTCTGTCACTCAGGCTGGAGTGCAGTGGTGTCATCATAGCAACCTCAAACTCCCCGGCTCAAGTGATACTCCCCAGCTTCCTGAGTAGCTGGGAATACAAGCATGTGCCACTGTGCCGAACTAATATTTTTTCTACTTTTTGTAATAGTAGAGACAGGGTCTTGCTCCTGCTCTTACTCAGGCTGGTCTCAAACTCCTGACCAACCTCAAGTGATCCTCCCTCCTGCGCCTCCCAGAGTGCTACTATTATAGGCATGAGCCACCGAGCCTTGCCCCATCTTTTGTTTTCTTTAATCTTTTTGTTTTTCTCTTTCATTATTTTAATATTATTATATTTATAATTATTATTATATTTATAATTTTCTTTCTTCTGGTTAAGAGTTTATATATCATGCTGTACATTTCCATTTAAACACAGCTTTAGCTATATTTCACAAATCTGATATATTATTTTCACTATCACTCAATTCAAAATATTTTCTAATTTCAAGGTCCAGCTCCAAGTCATCTCAGTTCTCAGAAGCCTTCCTCAATAATTTCAGTTAACATTGATAGACACTTGATATCTGATACAGCTTTAACTGTTGGACCTCAGAAATACATAGTGTTAGAATTTCAAGCAAATATCTTCCAAAATTTTGCAATCCCATTTCTCAGAAGAAAATAATTTAAAATGATTTCAAATACTTATCCATACATATTTACTCTGGCTGTTATGTCCTCTTCAGGAAGGTCCAATTTATCCTCCTCCATATCATTAACTTTTACTTGTTTCACTACTTCCAAAAGCAATGAGTCACTGGAAGGCTGTGAATGTTGGATACCTGTTTAAAAATAAAATATCCATTAGACACAAAGCAAACAATAATATTATAGCCCTTCTATAATTTGTGACTATCAATTAGAGTAATCTATGATGTTTCATGGTGATTTTTAACATTACTATTCATGCAGTAAAAGGAATAAATGTTTTAAAAGTATAGTATCTATTTTTAATGATAGTATTATTTGTTTCAGAAATAGGCCAAATACTTTCTTTAATCATACTTAATTCTAAAGGATGCCAATAAATAAGTCAAAGGAAGAATTATTCTCATTGTATTAATGTAATAGAACTACTTTTACTGTGTATTGTATCTGTACTAAAGCAATACTAAGAAAGAACACATGACAAATTTTATTTATTTATTCATTCACTCACTCTGTCACCCCAGGTACAGTACAATGGCATCATCATAGCTCACTGCAATCTCAAACTCCTGGGCTGAAGTGATCCTCCTGCCTCAGCCTACCAAGTAGCTGGAACTACAGGGACACGCCACCATGCCTGGTTAATTTTTTAGATTTTTTTTTTTTTTTTGGTAGAGACAGGGTTTGCTCTGGCTCAGGCTAGTCTCAAACTCCTGACCTCAAGTGATCCTCCTGCCTTGGCCGCCCAGATTATTAGGATTAGAGGCATGAGCCATTGTACCTGGCCACAAACTGTCTTTAATTGGGAGATAATACATAGACTGAGAGATGAAGTGTTACTTTCTGGAACACATGAAATTTCATACATACTTCTGGTACATACCTGTGCAATAAATGTAATATATTTTATAAATTAAACATTTTGTAAGAAGGCAGGGCTGGTGTAATGGACAGAATATGGGCTGTGAAGTGATAAACCAAGATACAAATTTTGTTCTGCCATTTATTAAGTCATATGACCACTTTGAATCCATTTTTTTTTAACTTTGAAATGGAGACTCAATCACAGGGTTGTTACATAATAACATAACACTGCAAATAACTACAAATAACACGATAAATAACAAAACACTATAAAAATGGCAAATCCTCCCATAACTTTTCAAATAGTGTCACTGTTCAGACCTAAAATTAATCAACCTACTGTATAGTTGCATTTTTCTTTGTAAATCTGCTTTCATCATACGTTTTCCTACACTGGGAAGTACCAGCTCATACCTTTCCTAGAACAAGTTTATAAGTATTTCAACTAAACATGTTTTTTCATGAGGTATAATATAAGCATGAATTTCAAAGCATATGAGAATGCAAGAAAAACTGAAAAGAAGAAAGCCTAGATAATCTGATACAAACAGAAAACTGACTTTATATAGATGTATGACACTATTCCAGTAAGAGTATAAGTTTAAAATCTGATGGAAGATTGAGGGAGGGTAGAGGATGGGAGCAAATGCAGCAAGGAGGCCAGTTGGGAAACTATTCTAAGTTTGGGCAAGGACAGCACCAAGCTAAGCCATGGAAACAGCAAAGGAAATGAAAATAAAGAAAATTCAAAGGGTATATAAAAGAGAGAATCAAAAGAACATTGTATCTAAATAGTTAGTATGTGTAGGGAATTAAAAGATATGATGATAAACTCATGGATTACACGGATTTGAATTTGAACAACTAATATATGGAGACATTGAGAACTACAATACAAGATACAAGAGAAGCAGAACCTAAGGTGAGGAGCAGACAAATGAGAAAAGATAATAAATTCAGTTTCAGAAATGTCACATGAAGGCTGTGTAAGAGGTATCCCAATAGGCAGCTGGAAACATTGGTCTAGAGTTCAAAAGGAAGGTAAGAACTAGAAAGAGAGATGGAAATGCATCATTACATATATAGTGGTGAAGCCATGTGATCACCTAGGAAGAGCACATACAAGCAAAAGGCAAGATGGCTAGGCATGGATTTTGGAATACTATCACTGAAAAGATAAACAGGAAAAAGGTTTTAGAAAAAAAGACTAAAAACTGGTATGAAAAGTAGGAGGTTAAACAGCAGAGAAATAAAATTACAGAGCAGGGTAACTATTAAATGCTTCAGAAACAAAGGAAGTAATGTAAAGACTAAAAATAAGTTGTCCAATATGGCAATTAGAAAAAGATTATGTCTAATAAAGAAATACAGACAAAAAATTTTCTTAAACCAAATATTTGTAATGACACATTTTAGAATATACTTTCTTTTTGACTATTCAAATTCCCTAATTTACAAGTGGGTGTGTTCTAAAAGATACTTCGTAAATTAGTTGTTGAGAATTCATAATGGACTTCCCATCAAAAACAATATTACAAATAATGGTTAGTTTTGTAGGTTAGCCCATAATGTAAACATTATTCTGTATATCTGTAATGGGTTGCTTACAAAGCAGTACTGGGGTAAGTAAAACAAAATAAAATGATTTTTTAAAAAGAACACCATGAATTCTGGCAGCTGATAAAAATACTTTACACAGATAAAAATAAGGAGTAGGTAAAACATTTTGCAGTTAATTCTGAAGTGTACTTCAGGGAAGAAACTTCAAAGGCTTTAAAGATTAATGCCTATGGTCTTTTACTATTTCTAATTTTACTTTGAAAAGTGTAAATTTTATCTTTTGTACAATTTTACTGTCACCATTATACTTAGGGTAAAGTTTTAAAAATAATGATAAAAATTGGGACAAAAAAGAAAGAACATGGTTTTCTTAGACTTAAGACAATTGAGACCAAGAAGAAAGGACACAAAATTGTATCTGTGTGCATGTGTAGAGGGGTGAGAAGGAGAAGAAGAAGAGGGAATTTCCTGGGGTGGGATTTCTTGGCAAAAGTCAGGAGAATAAAAGAGTTACTTAAGTAACTATTAGACTGAAATCATTTAGCAAAAGATGTTTGCTGTGTGATAAGGACAGTTAAATTTCAAGGAGTAGAAAAAGTTTAATAGTCTTAAAGAAACTATAAGAGGGCCGGGCACAGTGGCTCACGCCTGTAATCCTAGCACCCTGGGAGGCCGAGGCGGGCGGATTACTGAAGGTCAGGAGTTCGAAACCAGCCTGAGCAAGAGTCATTCTGTCTCTACTATAAATAGAAAGAAATTAATTGGCCAACTACTATATATAGAGAAAAAATTAGTTGGGCGTGGTGGCACATGCCTGTAGTGCCAGCTACTTGGGAGGCTGAGGCAGAAGAATTGCTTGAGCCCAGGAGTTTGAGGTTGCTGTGAGCTAGGCTGACGCCATGGCACTCACTCTAGCCTGGGCAACAAAGCGATGACTACTTGTCTCAAAAAAAAAAAAGAGAGAGAAACTTATAGAGAGAAGCTACACACAACTGGCTATTGCTACGTAAGATACATTCAAAGTTAGTGTTTGTATCCTAAGTAGGGCCATTATTTTGCATTAGGAAAATCACTTACCATATTTGATTTCTTTTCGAATGTGAGACTCTAAATGGCAGGAATCATGCCTTTCTAAATTAATTTTATGACATCAAATGTATTGGTCATATATTTGTTTTTTTGTTTTTTTTTTGAGACACAGTCTCACTTTTTGCATAGGCTAGTGTAATGGCGTCAGCATGGCTCACAGCAACCTCAAACTCCTGGGCTCAAGCAATCCTTCTGCCTCAGCCTCCCAAGTAGCTGGCACTACAGGCATGTGCCACCACGCCCAACTAATTTTTTTCTCTATATATTTTTAGTTGGCCAATTAATTTCTTTCTATTTTTAGTAGAGACGGGGTCTCACTCTTGCTCAGGCTGGTTTCGAACTCCTAACCCTTTCGAGCGATCCGCACCGCCTTGGGCTCCCATGTCGGTGTTAGTAATTACAGGCGTTATGAGCCCACCGCACCCTGGCCTTATGGTCATATTGAGGCAATCCTAAAAACTCAACGCTCTCAAAAGCTTAGCGTCTCTCATTTCTCACATGGCTATAACTTATCAATTTATGTGGTTATCATCATATGACTCGCTCCAACTGACATCTGCTTCTCTTCTTTTGAGACACCAAGTCTCCTCCGCTCTGTTGTTTGCCTCTACGGTCTTGAGTGGATGCCATGGCATCAGCCTAGCTCGCAAGCAACCTCGAAAACTCCCTAAGCTCAGCAACTCCTGTGCTGCTCAGTCTCCAAGTTATGCTGGGACTTTACAGCATTGTCTCACCTACAATGCTCGGCTAATTTTTTATTATTATCATTCTTCAGTGTTAGTTAGCCAATTAATTTCTTTCTATTTATAGTAGAGACGGGGTCTCGCTCTTGCTCAGGCTGGTTTCGAACTCCTGACCTCGAGCAATCTGCCTGCCTCGGCCTCCCAGAGAGCTAGGATTACAGGTGTGAGCGACCGCACCCGGCCTGCCAATGACTCTTGACAAACAAGATTTGATTTGGGTGTAGTTCACACAACTATCTCCAAAAAGAGAGATGGCTAAATATTTTTAAGTACTTTTTTCTAGAAAAAGGCACTGATTCATCTAAGATACTAAGGGTCAAGAGTTCTATAAAAATAGATTATTAAAGAAAGGCCTAAAAGATTGCTAAGAATTCTAATTATATCTAACATTAACATGATGAGCCTAAGTCTTGATGAGCAAAAAAACTAATGGAACAGGACATTGTTTCACTGCAAGAGAAATAGCAGTTCAAATGAAGTACAGTATAATTTTATTTTTTATTTATTTACTTAATTAATTTATTTAGGTAACCATGAAAATGAGGTTTATATAGGAGAGAAAGATAGGATTATAGGGCAAAAGCAAGATAGAGGTTTACAAGCATGATACATATGCCACAGATGACGACTGGACCCACTGTCACAGCAAAAGGAGAACAAAAGGAGGGAGCAAAAGGGGCTGTATAATTTTATAATTCAAAAACATTTTTTGAGAAATGACAATCAATGGAAACATGAAGTAATCTTGGATATAGGCCAACTATAATAGCAGTGAACATGTATAATCATTTAAATATCACTTATAGAATGCCACCTTTCCTTCGTAAGTAAATAATTTTAAGACAATTAATGACACAAAAATAACCAATCCCACCAACACTGTCACTATCTCCAATAAAAAATTAAGCAGTCATTGGAACTCACCTAGATTATCTCTCAAGGCGCTAGCTTCCTCATGGGTTTTGAAATTATAATTCGGCACCAGTTTAAGTCTCATGCGGGAATAATTTTCTACATTAGCTAGTTTCCAGTGAATTGGGTTCTGTTTCCTGAGAATATTCAGAAGCAAAAAGTAAAATCACTTAGCTTCAAGTTACTTTAAAGTACTATTTAACACCATTTTACAAAAATGTTCACATTTATTATCTCATTTGATTCAAATAACCCTCAACCCTGAGACAACCAAAGTGAACCAAACAGTTGCAGTTTATTTTTAAAAATGTTATTTTAGAGACAGAGTCTTGCTCTGTTGCCCAGGTTGGAGTGCAGTGGCACAATCATAACTCACTGCAGCCTCAAACTCCTGGGCTCCAGTGATACTTCTGCCTCAGCCTCCCAAGTAAAAGGGACTACAGGTGGGTGCTACCATACCTGGCTAATTTTTCTTATTTTTTTTAGAGACAGGGTATCACTTTGTTGCCCAGGCTGGTCTCAAACTCCTGGCTTCAAGTGATCCTTTTTTTTTTTTTGAGATGGAGTCTTACTCTGTCACCCAAGCTAGGGTGCTGAGGTGTCAGCCTAGCTCACAGCAACCTCAAACTCCTGGGCTCAAGCTATCCTCCTGCCTCAGCCTTCCGAGTAGCTAGGACTACAGGCTATTTTTATCTACTTTTAGTAGAGACTGGGGTCTCACTCTAGCTCAGGCTGATCTCAAACTCCTGACCTCAAGCGATCCTCCCGCCTGGGCCTCCCAGAGTACTAGAATTACAGGCGTGAGCCACCATACCTAGCCTCAAGTGATCCTCTTGCCTCAGCCTCCTGAGTAGCTGGAATTACAGGTGTGAACCACTGCACCTGGCCTTAGCTGCAGTTTATACATTAGCAATCTAAGACAGACTAAATTATGTCATGAGGTTTACAGGTAGTAGACATAAGATCTGACATGAACTTTCAGACTTACAGTTTGATACCTTTACTTTTTCACTGTTAAATGGAAGTTTTTTTTTTGTTTGTTTTTTGTTTTTTTAAGCCTTTTAATTTTTATTTCTCAAAAAAGGTTCATTTTCTTATTTAGCTTTCTGGCTCTGTGCTTGTGCCTTCAACACCTTCACAACGATTTTCTGCTCCTCGATAAGGAAAGCACGCTTGATCCTGTCACGAACACATTTAGCACACATGGAACCACCATAGGCCCTACTGACATGTTTTTTTGTTTTAGACAACCTCATAAGAACTTTAGGTCTCACAGCACGAACCCCTCGAAGTCTACCTGGGCACATACCACATGCAGATTTTGGTGCTTTCCCAACCTTCTTGGTATAAAGGTAAACAATTCTATTACCAGGGGTTCGGGACAGCCTAGTTTTGTTAGAGGCTGTGTTGTAGGAAAGCCTACGGCAATATGTCAAACGTTGGACCATTTTGAGTACCTGCAGACAGCGACCCCGGAAGGAAGTTTTTAACTATTTATAAAGTTAGTTTATATTTCCAATATAGTTTTCAAAATATTGAAATTGAATATTTGAATATTCAAATTATTTAAAAAATAATTTTAATACAAATTAATATAATTGCAAATGGATCAAAGATCTAAATGTGAGTGAAAATTATAAAACTCTTAGAAGAAAAGACAGGCATAAATCTTCATAACCTTGGACATGGGAATGGTTTCTTAGATATGACACCAAAAGCATATGCAACAAAAGAAAAAAATAATTTGGACTTCGTCAAAATTAAAATCTTTTGAGCATCAAAGGCCACTATTAACAAAGTGAAAAGATACCCCACATTTAGGGTAAAATCATCTATCTGATAAAGGTGTATTATTGAGATTATATTTCAGAAAAAAAACTCTTTACAACTCAACAAAAAGTCAAACAACCAATTTAAAAATGGGCAAAGGACTTGAGTGAACCTTTCTCCAAAGAAGATATAGAAATGGCAATAAGCACATGATAAAATACTTGACATCATTAGTCATCAGGAAATGGGAAACAAAATCATAAGATACTACTCATACCCACTAGGAAGGCCATAATAAAAAAATCAGGAAATGACAACTACTGATAAGGATGTGGAGAAATGGGAACCCTCATACATTGCTACTGAAAATACAAATGACACAGCAGCAATGGAAAACAGCTTGGCAATTCCTCAGTAAGTTAAATATAGAATTATCCTATGATCCAGCAATTTTACTCATAGCATATACCCGAGAGAATTAAAAACAAATGTTCAAACATTTATACACAAATGTTCACAGCAGCACTATTCACAATAGCCAAAAAGTGGAAAACAACCGAAATGTCCATCAACTGATGAATGGATAAATAAAAGGTGATATATCCAAACAATGGAATATTATTCAGCCATAAAAAAGAATAAAGTATTGACACATGCCACAACATAATGAAAACATTATGCTAAGTGTAAGAAGACACAAAAGACCACATATTGTACGACTTCATTTATTGGAAATAACCAGAATAGGCTAATCATAGAGACAAAAAGCAGATTAGTGGTTGCCAGGGACTGGGGAAGGCAATAATGAGGAGTGACTGTTTTGACTGTTTAATGTGTGCAGGGTTTCCTTTTGAGGTGATAAAAATGTTATGAAGCCAGACAGTGGTGATGATTGCACAAAATTAGGAATGGATTTAATGCCACTGAATTGTACATTTTAAAGTGGTTAAAAGGATAAACTTTCTGTTATGTGTATTTTACCACGTTATAAAAAAGATAATATTAAAAAAGATAATATAATTCACCAAAACAGAAGTGACTGAGGATCAATTAAATAAACTGTAAGGTCAAACACGTTGCATCATTAACTCTAGCTCAAAAAGGTGGTATCAAAAAGACAGAAATAAACTAGTTTAATACTTACTATGAGTCTAAGTCTAATCAACTTTATAGTACAGAGTAAAAGGAATAGAAATAACTACATGGTAAAAGACATATACACACAAACCTCTAATCATCCCAAATCTATAATTCACAAAAAGACCATAAAATGAATTAACACTCTTTTGTTAATATGAACTAAACATTTAAAAAATTAGAATGAAGAGGGCATTAGCTTAAAAAGTTCTAGACCAGAATTCTAAAGAATAAAGAGTAATTCATAAAAAACATACTCCTACCTTTCAGCCCAAGGTCCCCTTTCACATGTAAGATAGAGCTGTATTGCCTTCCAGTGTCTAAGAGTGGCTAACTGTTGGCTGCTAAGTTGTTTAAGCATATTATTATATCTCAGGTTCTCTTGGCGTGCTTTTCGATTAAATGGCTCCACAAATGTCTCCTAGAAGAAACAGCAATAAATTAGAACCTTGAATTATATATTTATAGGTGTATTTACATTTTAATATCATCATTTAAAAAATTTGGGCCAGGAGTGGTGGCTCACGCCTATAATCCTAGCACTCTAGGAGGCCAACGCAGGCGGATTGCTCAAGGTTAGGAGTTTGAAACCAGCCTGAGCAAGAACTAGACCCCGTCTCTACTAAAAATAGAAAGAAATTAATTGGCCAACTAAAAATATATAGAAAAAATTAGTTGGGCATGGTGGCGCATGCCTGTAGTCCCAGCTACTTGGGAGGCTAAGGCAGAAGGATTGCTTGAGCCCAGGAGTTTGAGGTTGCTGTGAGGTAGGCTGATGACCGGCACTCTAGCCCAGGCAACAAAGTAAGACACTATCTCAAAAAAAAAAAAAAAAAAATTTGACCAATGAAATCATTCAGTATGAGAAAGAAGCTGGTAACCAACAGGCTTTTCCTATTTCATTAGAATCATTTTTTTTTTTGATGAACCATGATATAATTCTAGCTATAATTGATTAATATTTTTTAAAACATAAAAAAATAACTAGCCAACAATAAACATGTGAAGAACTTAAAAAAATGGAAACAAATATAGTACAGGCTGGAGTGCAGTGGTGATCACAGCTCACCAAAGCCTCGAATTCCTGGGCTCAAGTGATCCTATCGCCTTAGCCTCCGGGGTAGCTGGGACTATAGGTGCCTCCATATCCACCTAATATTCTTTTCTTTGTAGAGGGGGGTCTTGTTATGTTGCCCAGGCTGATCTTGAACTCCTGGCCTCAAGCAATCCTCCCACCTCAACCTCCCAAAGTGCTGGGATTACAGACATGAGCCACCGCACCCACCTATATTTATATTCTTTTACCAATTATTACCCCATTCTGACTAGTGAAACTTAATAATGCATCTTGAAATTATAGTGTAAGTCCTCCAATTTTGTTATTCTTTCCGAAAATTGCTTTGGTTATTCTAATTCCTTTTTATATATTTTAGAATCAATATGTCTGTATGTACAGAGAATCTTCCTAAAATTCTTATTGGGATTGTATTCTTAAAGATAAATTTGGGAGAACTGAAATCTTAATATGACTTAAGACTACTGAGTCTTCTAATTTATGAATATAGTGTTTTTTCACTCATTTAGGTCTTCTTTAATTTATCTCATCAGTGATTTGTAGTTTTGGCACATATATGGCAGATGCTGTATATGTTTTGTCAGACTGACAACCTAAGCATTTTATTATTTTTAGAGTTATTTATTATAAACAGGATTTTAAAAAAATTCTGTTTCAAATATTCATTGCTAGTATATAGAAATATGATTAAATTTTGTGTATTGATTTTATGTCCTGCAACTAGGCTAAACTCACTAATTACACGAATTTTTGGTAGATTCCTTGGGATTTTCTATACTACAGAGAATCATGTTATCTGCAACTAATTTTATTTCTTCTTTCCCAATATGAATGCCTTTTTATATCTGTTTCTATTCTTACTTCATTTGCCAGGATTTACAGAAGAAGAATAACTAAGAGTAGACATTCCTGCCTAGTTCCCTATCTTAGGAGGAAAGTACACAGTTTTTCACCACTAAATATGAAGCTAGCTGTAGCATTATCATAAAGGTTGAGGTAGCATCCTTGTACTTTTAGTTTGTGGAGAGCTTTGATGATAAATGGATGTTGAATTTTGTCAAGTGGCTTTTCCACATCAGACATGATAGTTTTTCTTGATAAATTTATTAATGTGGTCCCCTATATTGATTGGTTGATTTTTAAATGTTGAACCAGCCAGCCTTGCATTCTAAACTCTACTTTGCTGTGATGTATTTTTTAAAGTATATTGCTGGCTTTGGTTTGCACTTATGTCCCTGAGGGATACTGGTCTGTAGTTTTCTTGTAGTATTTTTGTATTGATAATACTGCCCTCATAAAATGAGTTGGAAGTATTCCTGCTCTTCTATTTTCTGAAGAGACTATAAGGAATTGGCATACATTTTACCAGTAAATGTTGGGTATAATTTGCCAGTGAAACCACCTGAGCCTGGAGTTTTCCCTTTTAAAAGGTTTTTAAATATAAATTTAATTTAATTTTTATTTTTTGAGACATAGTCTTACTCTGTTGCCCCGGTTAGCATGCAGTAGTATCATCATAGCTTAGCACAACCTAAAACTCCTGGGCTCCAGTGACCCCCTGCCTCAGCTGCCTGAGTAGCTAGGACTACAGGTGCACACTATCATGCCCAGCTAATTTTTGTATTTTTGGTAGAGATAGGGGCTTGATTTTATTCAGGCTGGTCTTGAACTACTGACCTTAAGTGATCCTTCTACCTCAGCCTCCCAGAGTGCTAGGATTATCAGCATAAGCCACCATACCTCGCCTAAATTCAATTTCTTTAATAGATATAAGATTATCCAGGTTATCTAACTTTTTGAATTGGTTTTGGAAATTTATAACTGTCAAGAAATTGATCCGCTTTACTTAAGTTGTTAAATTTATGTGCCTAGAGTGGTCTGTTACTTATTACCATGTTGATGTCTGTGGAGTCAGTGGTGATATTGCCTCTTTCATTACTGGAATAAGTAACTTCCCATGTCTCTTTTTTCGCTTTGTTCATCTGGCTAGTTTATTAATTTTACTGATATTCTGAAGAACTAGATTTTGGTTTCATTGATTTTTTTCCATTGTTTTTCTGCTTTCAATTTGATTGATTTTTGTTCTTTATTCATTTCTTACTTCTGCATATGATGGGTATAGAGTACTTTTTTTCCTAGCTTCTTAATGTAGAAACTTAAAATTTTTAATTTGAGAGCTTTCTTCTTTTCTAACATAATCATTAAGTGCTATAAATTTCCTCTAAGCATTGACATGTATCCAGCTTAGATAACTGGATACATATATATAAAGGAATCTATTAATAAACTATCAGCTTAGTAGACTTTTTACATTATCACTATGTATGGAAGAACATTGTACTATTAATTCATGTTAATTGTTACTGATCAGTTGTTCTTATTCCAATTCTAAAATAATTTTTAGACAATGGAAATATTATTTGTTTTCCAAATTTTGAGCATGGTATTACTCTTATTTAATATTAAATGCTTAAAATCAACATGAAATACTAGATATTAAAACACTCAATACTTTTTACCTGAAATTTGAGCTTGCTTTCCCCTCCTTCTCGGTCTCGTTTATGCATATTCACCATTAAGGCTTCATAACAATCCTTCCAATAAAGTGCCATGTTCTCATGACCTTCATAAAATGTATGAGTTTCATACTGCTTCATATACGGTACAATCTTATATAAAAGAGAATATATAAGATATAATGTATACTTCTATAAAAATGATAAAATAGAAAAATTTTGCTAAAAAGATAAAACTTACATATTTTTCAATGTAAACTTGCCATTCATTTGAACTACAATATTCTTGAAAATCTTCAAAAAATGAAGAGCTACCATTGGTAAAAGGTAAAGAAGGCAGGTGCAAATTCATGAAGAGAAGCTCATAAATTTTGGAAACCAGGGTACGAACAAGGGGAATCAGAAATGAGTAGATTTCAGTCTGTTGCTTGATTGATTGACTTAGAACATGTTCCAGCTTTCCTAAAATGTAACATGCTTCATTCTGATTTTCAATCACTTTTGTCTGAAGAAGGGTGTTTAGCTTAGCTGATGCCATTGCACAGACCTGGAAGAAAACAGTTTAGGTGAGAAAGAACAGACTAAAGCAAACATTTAGTAACAGCGCAAGTTCTGACCCTGACTCAGCAGGGTCAGAACTTTTATACAATAACTGTCAAGAATTGTAAAGGGTCTTAGATCTTACCTTACCTCCAAGCTAACAAGTTAGCCTGCCACAGTTTCATAGATGTTGGCAGAAGACACAAAACTCCTAGATCAGAGACAAAAATCCACAGCAATAGCAATAGCCAGAGTATCAGCTTTTGCATTGGTTCCTCACAGTACATTCCCACAGTGAGAAATGAAGAGGACTTGATGATACTTGCACATGCACATTTTAGGAGAGGAATCCTAAGCATAAGGAACCTAAATCTTTTAATATTAGGCAGTAAGCTTATCTGATCTTTGTCACAGAAGGAGACATTATGATTATTATACTGGACAGTAAACTACTCTGCCTTTTGCTCTGGAGGGAGATATGACATCTATCTTCCAAATTTGCTCACGCAAACAAAATTAAAAAGGCAGTTCATAACAAAGGCAGCCACAGTCTCTATTCATAAGATATGTGGAAAAACAACAGCCTCATGGCTAAATGTCTACCAAAAATTACTGTAGGAAGCAGCACTCTTTCTCTGGATATGAAATTAGTAGCATAGGGCCAGGTGCACTGGTTCATGCCTATAATTCCAGTATGTTAGGAGGCAGAGGTAGGAGGATGACTTTGAAGCCAGGAGTTTGAGACCAGCCTGGACAACACAGTGAGACCCTGTCTGTACAAAAAGTAAAAAAATTAACTAGGCATGGTGATACACACCTATAGTTCTAGCTACTCAGGAGGCTGAGGTGGCAGGGTAGCTTGAGCCCTGGAGTTTGAGGCTATAGTTAGTTATGATCATTGTATTTCAGCTTGGGTGACAGAGCAAGACCCTATCTCTAAAAAAAACAAAAAAACAAATAGGTAGTATACAGTCCCAATTGCTGTTGGGCAGCCATTCTGTGTTCACAGGGAAGACAGCTTAAGATGACAGATGACCGAGAGTAGTGCTATGAGAACAGCAAATAAATGGAACTGGAGTCCTGACTGAACTCTGCCTTAAACTCATCTTAACTATGGAAGCCTCAATTATATGAGCCACTAAATCTTCTTAACTAAGTCAGTTTGAGTTGGTATTTCTGCTACTTGAAATCGAAAGTATTCCAATATATAAAGTACAGGTATATAGGAGTCCAAGTTGATCAGAAACCTAACTACACTTAAAATTCTCATATTCGGAGCACAAGCCCCAGCAAAGAAATATATTATATTATGTGTATGTGTGTGTGTGTGTGTGTGTGTGTGTGTGTGTGTATTATTACCATTAAGCTGTGACCTTAAACCTCAAGGTGGAAAGGTAAATTAGGCCATTAAGGGGGCTAGAGAAAGATCTAAGCCTTAAAAGCAAACTGGTAAAAGTGATATATTGTGCTTCTTTCACCTTCTCCCTTAACCCTATTTTCTTATTTTGGATCTTCTCAAATAAAGAAAAGGAAAAGAAAATTAAAAAGTACTAGAACCTAACAGTATTTCAAGAATATATTTGTACCAAAAGCTAGTCTGAAATGTACACACAGGTCTTTGCAGGATAAGGCAACAAGAAGAGACCTCAGGGAGTCATTCTACACAAATCTTAACAAAGCAAACAGCATTAGAGAAACAATCTCTAAGATGGCTCAAAGCTTTAACTTGTCTACTAGAAAGTGAAGCTTCTCCACCCTCTTCATATTTTCCCCTAACCCTTCACCCCGCTTTAGTCTTTGAATCTGACTAAAGGAACTTAATTCCAATAGAGTGCAATAAATGAAAGGAAAAAAGTAATAAAACCTCTACGTCCAGGAAATACCAATGTTAATATTCTGGGACATTTTTGCTATGTGCCTTTAAAAATACTGTTTACATAAAAAATTGAATATCTAGTGCTTTGCTTTTAATAAATAAACTCTGTAATGAATATGAGATAATTTATTTGACCATTGCTTTAATTTTAGATACACAAATACCACATATATTCCCCCTCCTACCCTCTTTATAAACAGTACTACATTAGGGTCACCTGAGGAATTACTAAAAAATACTGATGCCCTAGTCCCTCTGATTCTGAATTAATTACTATGGGTGATATTCTACCAAGGTATTTTTTAAAAGCTACTCTAGGTGATTTCATGTGCAGCAGCAATGAAAATCCCTGGCTGAGCTAACACAACTGGGAATAGGGAACCAGACCAACTGGGGATCATATGCTGCAACTAAATGAATCGACAACCATGTAGTTCTATTTTTGAGAAAAGCTGGGAAATCTTGGTTTTTGGATGAAACGTTCTAACACTTAAATATTTACAATTAATACATATGGGCCAAACAAAACAACTTTCCTAGCCAGGTTCATTTTGCAGGCAGCTGTATTATAACCCTAATAAGAAAAGAGATTCCTGTCCTAACCTTTAACATGTACAACCTCCAGGAAATATGCTTTTATTTCTGAGAGAACGAAATTAAACAACAGGTTAGTGAGAAATGTTTTAGGTCACTAACTACTGAAAGATAGGATCAGTCTTATCTGTAGGTGTTGTACTCATTGATTTATTTATTTAACAAGTATTTATAGAGCCCCTACTATGAAATAGGCATTGGATATTTAACGGTGAACTAAACAAAGGCATTTTGTTTTGGGAAATTTCGTCAAATAAAAAAACAGGATAAACTATGTGTAGAACACAAAAAGAGTCCCAACATTTAAAATAACAAACTATCTGGCATGCTAGTTGCAAATACTTTAATATTCATTAGGCTAATATTAATGAAAAAGCTAAAAAAGCTATCTTTCTGGGTAGAGGAAAAAAAGAATATTGCAATGCACATCTATGTGTATAAAGATTGTTCACTAATGTTATTACTTTAGGATTAGTTTTAGAGTACAATTACTAGACAAGTATAATCATTTTTAAAAGTTCTTAGTTCATATTTTTAAAATTACATTTAAAAGGCTGTACAATTTAAACTAACATCTCTGTGGCTTAATAACCTAAATACAATTTAGATGGTAGATGGTTAGATGGTAGTTTACAATTTAAACTACCATCTCTGTGGCTTAATAACCTAAATACCCTAAAAATACTCTTGTTTAGTTTTCTGGCATTTTTCAAGTTTTCTACAATGAGTATGTGTTACTTTAAGGATGAAAGGAAAAAACTCTTATTTAAAAGTTAGTAACATGGGGAAATGAGTTTTATGTAATAGAAAGAGAAAGAAAAAGAATACAAAATCATCTAAATATATGATCATTTCAATCATCTAAAAAAGATATATTCATTAAAAAATGACAGGAAAAAATATTAAAATAAATATTAAAATACTAACAGTTGGCTGGGCGCGGTGGCTCACACCTGTAATCCTAGCACTCTGGGAGGCCGAGGCGGGCGGATTGCTCGAGGTCAGGAGTTCAAAACCAGCCTGAGCAAGAGCGAGACCCCGTCTCTACTATAAATACAAAGAAATTAATTGGCCAACTAATATATATAGAAAAAACCAGCCGGGCATGGTGGCACATGCCTGTAGTCCCAGCTACTCAGGAGGCTGAGGCACTAGGATTGCTTGAGCCCAGGAGTTTGAGGTTGCTGTGAGCTAGGCTGACGCCACGGCACTCACTCTAGCCTGGGCAACAAAGCGAGACTCTGTCTCAAAAAAAAAAAAAAAATACTAACAGTTGTTTTCTCTTAGGTTATGAGATGTTGAATAATTTATTTGTTTCTTCTTTATGCTTTTATGTATTTTCCACAGTGAGTAGGTGTTACTTTTACAATCAGAAATAAATAATTATTGAAAACAGAATCATCAAATCATGGTCTTTTTAAGACAGGGAAAACTTATGTCAGAAATTTAATCTTTCCATGTTCTTTTTTTGTTTGTTTGTTTTCAGATAGAGTCTCGCTCTATTGCTTGGGCTAGAGTGTAGTGGTGTCAGCCAAGCTCACAGCAACCTGAAACTCCTGGTATCAGGCAATCTTTCTGCCTCAGCCTCCCGAGTAGCTGGGACTACAAATACATGCCGCCACACCCAGCTAATTTTTTCTATTTTTAGTAGACACGGAGTCTTGTTCTTGCTCAAGCTGGTCTTGAACTCCTAAGCTCAATCGATCCTCCTGCCTTGGCCTCTCAGAGTGCTAGAATTATAGGTGTGAGCTACCATGCCTGGCCTTTAACCTCTCCATGTTATTATCAACACTCTATCTAGTTTATATACATTAGAAACCAGTCCAATCCCAAAGCCCCTGCACCAAATATAAAAATTGAAACATCAAAAGAAAATAAATAGGGTCAGGTGAATAGTTGTGGGATACCTGTCATGATTAACGCAACACAGATTCTCACAAGTACCCATGTAAACAGAAAAATGACAGCCTAAAATTCACTTGAAACTTTTCCAACTTTTTAAAATTCTAATTTAAAATAAAGATAAATATTCCTTGTGACCAATATTTTATTTACCTTTATTTCAAAACCTAGCACAATGCTTAGTGGTGTTTGATGAACAAAAAAAATATGAGATAGAATGTAAAATTGTGATTAGTAAAATATTACAAAAAACTTTGAAAGAACAATTTAAAAAATAATTTTCCTAAAAATACAAGCTCTAAAATGTACATATATAAATATTCTATGCAGGCTGTCTAGCACCTAACTGGCTACACTGAATATAGATGATATGAGTAATTTTTTTAATATAAACTATGTATAAATTCTATAAAAGGAAGCCTTAAAATTATACCAACTCATAAATATCAGGAAGAAACAATCAATCAGCTGCCTCTCAAGCTCTTGTCTGATCTCACAAAACTCAAACTCCAAGTGAAATCATGGATATTTTTGGAACTAATAAAATAATTAAAATACTTAAAAGACTCATTTAAGACTTAAAATACTCATTCAGTTGTCGCAAAAATAATACTTATGCTGCATGCAAGTATAGAAAATAAAGTAAAAGAATTGACAAACCTGCAAATTACCCCTTCCAATGAATCCAAGAAGCAACTGGATCTGAATTTGAGAGAGTTTTACCCATACTGGACTTTCAGAATACCAAACTGACAGACAGTCAAAGAGCAGCATCAGATCCTCTAAAAGCTAAGGAAAAAATTATGAAGTAAAAGCATTCAGTTTTTTATTCCACTGCTGAGTTTTCCCCAACACTAATAACAAATCATAAATATTTCAAAACTAGCCCAATGTTCAGTTGACAAAAGCCAAAAGAGTCATACTAGCAATGGGTAACAAAATCTGTGACTATTCATCACATCTTACTCACGTTTACTGCATCTGATTATATATTAACACTCTAAAAAGAGGGAGTACAAAATTTCATTCTCTGAATAAAGTTCTTAACTTCCCAAAATATAATTTCAAAGAGATATTACTGCACCTTCTCAGTCCACATATTTGAGTTAACTAGTCCCTCGGATTGCAGAAAGTCTTGTATGATCAGCATGAGTCGGAAGCCATTTTCAGCAGTTACTGGGTTAGTTTTTGCTTCTCTGTTTTCTGTGACTGCCCATTCTAACATCTTCTGTAGCAAACTAAGTGTAAAACAAAGTCCTCTTAAAACCACTGTGATCTTAGGAAGATAGTAAGACATGAAAAAAGGGAAAAAAACACTTGAGAGGCAATACTTTATCTCCAAAGATACACCATCACTGGCAGATATCACTAAGACATTATGGATGGAATTTAATAACAATGGAGTAACTTTTTAATTTTTTGGAGTATCAATCTTTAATACATCTAATACTAAAAGTCAAAGTCAAAGTTACCTATTTTACTTGACTATAAAAAAGCTATGACAATAATTCACATTCTATTCTCCATGAGATACTTAAAACAGTTTCTATAAAGCTGGAAATTGGGAAGTTTAGGGAAGAAAGGCTGATTATGCCTTACAGAGAGTCTAGCCCTGTAGTAAAACAAAGAGGTAATTCTACCCTGGTGTGCTGCTGTTACATAGTCCTATTATTTACAGGGAACCCTAAATCCTTCAGAGAAGTAATTTTCATGAAAACACTACTCCCTTCCCTTCCCTAAGCATGGACACACTCAAAATTTGGACAAGCCTATAAAACACCATGTATCAAGTCTTCAAATCCTGCAGCAAAAAATTTAAACAAGGAATCTGTAATCTTTTAAAATTTAAATTTACTTAAGATTTCAATCTCCTCACATTTGAGTAGTTTGGGATTTCTCTTTACGTTCTACTAGAATGGCAAAAGATAGGAAAAGGAAATGAACACAAAGTTTCTCCTTTTCTCCCTTTAAATCCACTGAATACTGAATAAAAGTTCAATAACGAATATAATTTCAGACTCCTATGCACTTCAAAAAGAGGGTGGAAAATCACTAACTGAAAGCTTACGTTAGTTTTATTTCATCTGATGGTCGAAGTAGCTCACTAGATATTCCTGGCTTAGTCAGTGCTGAAAATACTTGTCCTCGTTCAATCCAAGTATCATCATCAGACTTTTCCAGTCCCTTACACATTACATGATTCAAAATATTTGTCAGTAATTGAAGAAGTTCCTCTTCACATCTCTAGAAAAGATAAAGGAATTTTAAGTAAGCGGAGTGAGGAGGTGTTAAAAGGACATAATAAGAACTATAACACATTAATGACTGTAATTGTTTAACATAGTTTTAAAGTGCCTTGATGAACCTGGAACTTTTACTAGGCCCTAAAGATACAAGATGAATAAGACATTGGCTTTGCTCAAGAAACTCTCAATCTAGCGACTTCTACGCTTCTAAACCTTAGATCATGAAACTTAGAACACGAATATGAAATTTTTAACAACTGCTTGCACAATTCTAAGGATTAGAAGTATATAACATACATATGAAAATAAAAATAAAGAATTTTACCTCTTGGCTTTCAAGTAAAGAGAAGTCATCAATAAAGCCCATATCATTTGTGATGCTGCTTTCTTTGTCAGACTGCATGGAAAATGACTTACTAGACTCTACTGGGGATGGCGTACTAGGCAGGCTGTCTGGCATTTGATTTCCACTATCACTCATTTCACATGAGTCAATTCCACTGAGATCTAAACTCAAATGTGAAGGGTTACTATGCCAGAATTCTTCTTGATTCTCTGATTTGAAAGACAATTCTCCTACAGAGCTATCTTCTTGAAATAACAGTGTGTTTGAGTCTAAAGAGTGTCTGTCTTCCAAACTCCACTGATCTAAAGACACATTAGCTGAGGCAAGAGAGTTAGTCTTTTCCTCATCTGTCTTTTCATCGAAGTTCTTCTTAAAATCTTCAGTTGATATGTTTTTATCATTGTCTTTCATTAAAGCAGCCCTACTGTGATTATGAAGAGTATTTCCATTTTCAAAATTTGCTTTTAAAAAAAGCCTAATTAAGGTGTCTTGCCAACCGACTTGTTGTGATATTTGATGTGCTGCATCTGGCTGGGACTGCAAAATCTGTAAAATCTGCAAAGAGATTAAGAATACAAAATTCTTCAAAAAGTACACAGTACTTTATATCAAGAAGTCTCTTTTCAGTATTTTAATGACAAAGCAATTGGATGAGAAACTACAGAAGGATATACTTTCAAAAGATTATGTTCTTAATTAGATTATAAACCATTTAGAGGACTGGCATTGTGTTTCCAACTAATCTGCATACTACTCATTGTACAGTCAGGATGTACTAAATTATTTGCTGAAAGATAAAAAGGGAAAACTTTTATTTTTTCCTGTCCATTCTAGTTTATCCTAAATGACAACTAAAATGATCTTTCATATGCCAAGACACACAAGTTATTAATTTGGTCACAGAGAACATATAAATAGAATAGTGATATATAAAATGTAATAAGCTGATATCCTCTCAACTAAATACTTTCCACAAGCTTACTATATTTAGCAAATATTATTGAATGTGTACCTATGGGCCAGACACAGTTCTAGGCACTAGGGCTAGGAGATTGAATAGGACACATAATGACACTTTGATAGAAGCTGGGTATACCAAGAATAATGTTTTCCTGTCTCATCTTTTTTTTCGAACTCCTGACTTTGAGCAACCCGCCCACCTCGGCCTCCCAGAGTGCTAGGATTATAGGTGTGAGCCACTGCACCCGGCTGAGGCTTAAATTTTTAAAGGCAAAATGAAAACTAATTTTAGATATTCATTTTTTCTAATTTTTAATTTTTTTTTTCAGTACTTACTACAAATAGCAGAATTTATGCCAGATGCTGGGAGTTTTAGGGTATAAAGTTTTTTGTTTTAATAAGATAAGACATATGCATAAAGTATAATAGAGAGCCGGGCGCTGTGGCTCACGCCTGTAATCCTAGCTCTTGGGAGCCGAGGCGGGCGGATTGCTCAAGGTCAGGAGTTCAAAACCAGCCTGAGCAAGAGCAAGACCCGTCTCTACTATAAATAGAAAGAAATTAATTGGCCAACTGATATAATATAAAAAATTAGCCGGGCATGGTGGCGCATGCCTGTAGTCCTAGTACCGGGAGGCTGAGGCAGAAGGATCACTCGAGCCCAGGAGTTTGAGGTTGCTGTGAGCGAGGCTGATGCCACGGCACTCACTCTAGCCTGGGCAACGAAGCGAGACTCTGTCTCAAAAAAAAAAAAAATAATAAAATAGTATAAGAGCCACATAGTATGGATCGCATGTTCAGGCAATCAAAAGAAAAAGAGTACTTGGGAGTCCAAGGCGTGCGGATCTTTTGAGCTCAGGAGTTTGAGACCAGCCTGAGCAAGAGCGAGACCCCATGTCTACTAAAAAAAAATAGAAAGAGGACCCACACCTTTCACCTATCACAAAAACCAACTCACGCTGGATAACAGATTTAAACCTAAGGTATGAAACTATTAGAACTCTAGAGAAAAAGTTGAAACACTCTCCTAGACACGGCCTGGGCAAAGAGTTTATGAAGAAGTCCCAAAGGCAATCACAGCAGCAACAAAAATAAATAATGGACATGATCAAACTACAAAGCTTCTGCACAGCCAAAGAAATAGTCATGAAAGTAAACAGACAACCTATAGAACGGGAGAAAATTTTTGCATCCTATGCATCCGATAAGGGACTGATAACTAGAATATACTTAGAACTCACGAAAACCAGGAAGAAAAAATCAAATAACCCCATTAAAAAGTGGGCAAAGTACTTGAACAGAAACTTTTCTAAAGAAGACAGAAGAATGGACAACAAACATATGAAAAAATGCTCAACATCTCTAATCATCAGGGAAATGCAAATCAAAACCACAGTGAGATATCACTTAACCCCAGTGAGAATGGCCTTTATCAAAAATCTCCAAACAATAAATGCTGGCATGGTTGCGGAGAGAGAGAACACTCCTACACTGCTGTGGGACTGCAAACAGTACACCTCTGTGTAAAGCAATAATAAAATCAAAAAAACAAAATAAATAAAAAGAATAAAATATAAAAATAAAATAAGATT